CAGCTCAATAGCAACCACCATCAGGTAGCACCAGGACACAGCCACACAAAGGTCAAGCCACACATTTTCTCATTTGCTCATCCTGATTCTTAGGTCAGGAAAGCCAAGGAAATGCAGGAGTCCAGATTGGAGACAGCAAGATTTAATCGAAGACTTCACTACCGAGGTAGTGAAGGGCTGAGTTAGAGGAATACAAGCACCCAGAGGAAAAAGTTCTGGGGTTTTATAGTAATCAGTCGTTAGCCAAGCAGATGTTCCCAAGACTCTGAGCAGGACGCAGGTGCAAGAATTTCCATCTTGTGGTTTGTGGGACTTGAGCCCCATGGATATTCTCAGGGTCTAGACAGGATGTTTTCCAGCTCCTCTGTGGGCCTGTGATTTCTCTAAGAATTGAACTTAAAGTATCACAATTAGTTTTCCTATTTCTGCTTTCTCTACACTGACAACCACCCCATGGGTAGGTATTACTACTTCATTTTTCACAGACAAGGAAACTGAGGCCAGAAACTATTTCATAGACGAGAAAAACAAGGCCAGAAAGGGACGTGGCCAGATTCACAGTGAGATGGCTGCAATTGCTTCACTGCAGCGCCATGAACACCTGTAGGTGTGATGTGGGTGTGGCTTTGACTTCTGGAGTTGGCCTGAGAGAAGCAACAAGTCGGAGCAGGAAATGGCTGTCCCCTCAAGCTCTCTTGTTTCTTCCCCTTAATGTTCAATCTCTAGCCAAGCAGATGCTCCCAAGGATTAATATTCATGAACAGCTCTTCAGAAGCTGTGGTTGGCCAGTTGTGGAAAGGAAGCACAGGCTTGAGTGGAAGCTTTGAAAAGACTGCCATTTGGATGGGGTTGCATGTTGCAATCACCTCTCGCATGGTGGTTATAGGACAATCTTCTATAGCCATTCCCCAGCTGGAACAGAAGAAACCATTAAGTTCCCAAGTACTTCTCCAGAGCGTCTCAACAAAATTTAGTGAGCACATACACACACATACTCCAAGTTTGGACCAAGCTGTCATTAGTACCGGTACTTTTCATTCCTGAGCCCAAGGCAGACACAACTAACATATCAAAGGACTCCTTCCCACCAACCCAGAGACACAGTCCATCTCAATGGAGCAATCCAGGCAACTGCAATGGGTTGGAGTTTGGTGCCCACCATCAATCCTATTTAACATTTTATCTCATTCCATGCCAGGCCGTTGCTAGGAGATGCAGAGATGAATAAAACCTTGTTTCTCCCCTTAAGTCCAGAGGCAGGATATGGGTATGGGATGGGAGGAAACAAATCTGTGAATGCAGATTTATAACCTGGAGTTAAATGTATGAGTACAGTATTGCAGAAGCACATACGGGCAATGACTGATTCTGCCTAGAAGTGTGACACCGAAGCAGGTCTTGAAGGATGAACAGTCCAAGCAGGGTGGAAAGGGTATAACATATATTAAGTTCTGAGTTCCAGAAAGCACTGGGATGGGTGTAAGGAGCAGAAAACCTATGATCAGAGTAGGAAGGACCTTTTTCCTGCATCTTTTTAAGCAATTGACATGTCATCTGTAAAAATTATAACAGGACCTACCTCAGCTTGCAGTGAGGATTGAATAAGATAATGTATGTAATGCCCTTGTTCATTGAAAGTCAGCTTCTACCGATGTCTCCAGAAAACTATGGGGCGTGAAGTTAGTCTTTGGCAACTGAACCAGAATAGATTTAAGGTAGAGAAACATCATCCAATTTTTAAAGATGTTATATTTTCTGTATTTAAGATACATGTTTGTAGAAGAGTTGAAACTCTTTCAAAAGAAGAAAGAAGAAAAGAAAATCTTACACCTTCCCCCTCCTCAGAGAGAACCTCTATTAATATTTGGGTGCAGTGTCTTTCAGTCTTTAACCCAGTGCCATGCTTTTCTATACCTATAACCATGCCATCTGAACAAAAAGTCCTCTGGTTTTGTCACATAACAATGGTGACATACCGGTTTTCTATCTCTTCTGCAATCTCTTTCAACCTATCATTTTAATGGCTAATAACCATTGGGTGGATCTATTGTACTCAGGCATTTCCCCCCTGCTGGACAAATAGCTTGTCTATGACTCTTTTTTTTTTTACAATTGTTAATAATATTATAGAGAATATCTTGACACACAAGGCTTTTCTCTGTACTTTGGATTATTTTCTTAGGATAGTGCCTCAAAGGAATTAGAGAATTTAAGGGTGTGGATGCCATGTTACCAGCTGTTTCTTGCAAGGGTATGTTTACATTCCCTCATCAATGTTTGTTCCACACAAGCCTTACCAGCTTTGGCCATCTCACTTAAATTTAAATCTCTGCTAATGTGTTGGCCACAAAGAACAGAAGCGAAGATGCAGCATTTCTTCATTATTTGGAAGCTGGAATAGGGCTCACATGTGCATCTCACACGTGGTTCTTTGTTATAATCTCTCGGTGCTTGTTTTTTATCTGGTTGTTTAATGGCTGGGGGAGAGATCTTAGGTTGTAATCAAATATACTTATAATATTAACCCTTTGTGTATTTTAAAGGAATATTTTACTTGTTTGCTTTTCAATTTAGGTTTTTAATTCTGATGGAATTAGATCTACAGATCTTCTCCTTTGTAATCACTGCATCTTTCCTTTACAGATCTGAAAGAGCAATAATTTTTAGCTTCTCCCAGGAAAGTCACTTCTCTTTCTGGACCTCAATTTCTTCATCTTTTAAAACAGTAGGTAGGCAAAGATGTGATTTCTTGGCTTCTGGTGTAGATTCTTGGACTCTGGACTCCACAGTGTAGCTCGACACTGGCAACCCTCTCCACATGTTCTGGGACTCCAGCCAGGGAGTCCTTTCTCTTTGAGAAGTTCATTTATTCATTCAACTAGCACCTTCTGAGCATCTATATGTGATAGGCATTTTTTAAGGTGCTGGGATAGCTAGTGAAGAAAACAAAGCCCCTGCTATCACTTCTAGTAAAGGAAATTGACAACAAACACGGAAACAAGAAAGTTATAGTAATTTAGATGGTGAAAAATATGATGGAAAAAAATGAAGTGAGGTAAGAGATTAGGGAGTGCTGGGAGATGGGGAGGTGAGTTTCTACTATACATAGAAGGGTCAGGTGATATTGCAGCAGAGGCCTGAAGGAAGTAGAGAGCCAGTTAGATGGATATCTAGTAGAATTTGAGCAAAGCATTCCATGTAGAGGGAATAGCAAGTGCAAAGACCTTGAGGCAGGAGCCTGCTGGACAATTAAAGGGGCAGCTAGGAGGCCAGGGTGACCAGAGCACAGGAGAAAAGGGATAGAGCAGAGGGGACTGTGAGGCGGGTACATGGTGGTCTTAGGGCCGTCATGATGACTTGGCTTTTTGGATGAAATGGAAGCCCCCAGATGGTTTTGAGCAGAGCATCATAGTTCTGAGTGTGTTAGGTTTTAGAGGAGTTGGAAGAAGCCTCTAGTCTAGTGGGCACTGCAGGCTCCAGCTCTGGGATGAGCCACACTTCCATTCTCAGCACAGGTACCTTGGCCTACTGTCTCTCAGTCTTAGGTCTTTATTAGGAAATAATTTTAAGAGTTCGGGTGGGGCATCCCTCCCTAGCTGCAGCTCACCTAACTGAGCCAAGCTTTTGTGCAGGGGTTGGGAAGATGAGGGAGATGACACAGGGGCTTGTTTGTTTAGTGTGGGATTTCCTATCTCGAGGAAGACTATAGGGAGGTGATGGTCATGTGCGGATGCAGGCATCATTCAGTGTACCAGCATCTAGCCAACATCCACCTGTTCTGAGCCTAGGACTCTTTCTGGCTCAGAGGAGGTGGGGGGTAGTCAATAAGCCAGAAGCAAGCCCACCCACAGTGACAGTGGCCAGAAATGGGGTTCACACCACCCCAAGAATCAGGCTTGTGGGTCACTGCTCAGGGCCTGCTTCCAGAAATCCATTCAGCTGCCCCAGTGTCAGAGAAGGTGGCCTTTCCTGGCTCCGCTCCTCCCAGACCATGCCAGGCCCCTGCCTTTACACCCTTGAAGCACCACAACCCCTTTCATGTGAAGTACTTTCCACAGTTGAAGTCTTACATAGATTAATAGGATTCTTTGATGTCTCTCCCCCACTATTCTAGAAACAACAGAGCCCGTTAAGGACTTTGTTTCTTTCACTGCTATGTTCCCAGTCACCCCGCATGGCCCCTGACACGTAGGAGGTGCTCAGTAAATACACTGAAATGAGCAAATGGTAAGGGAGAAAGGCAAGAAATGTTATTCCCTTTTACAGGCAATAAAACAGGCCAAGATGGGAGGTGGACTGCCTTCTGGCCTAATTCCTGCAATAGGAGCACCCAGGAGCACCGGGCTACACCCAAGGGGCCTCTCAGGCCCTCCACTGTTTCCTCCTCCTCTGCTCCTTCAAGGACACCACATGCCAGACCCCACCCCAGAAACAAAACTAGTCTTCCAGGAAAAGGTCTTAAGGCAGGAGTGGGTCAAGTGACAGCCTATCAATAATAACAATAGCAGTTACGATGGAACAGCCACTGTTCTCGGACAGCAACTCTGAGGCAGGTTCTATTAGCACTCCCATTTTAAAGTTGAAGAAACTGGGGCATGGAAGGGAGGTGGCATGCCCATGATAGCAGCAGAGCCTCGGTAATGGAACCGAGACAATAGAGCTGGAGGCTGCGCTCAACCACGCTGAGTTGCCTCTGTTACAGCGCAGCTTGAGCGCCCTGTGTCCTTGTTTCGTCACCTGTAGATTGGGATCATTAAGTAGTGGCTAGCCTCTTGGGTTGTTGGGAGATAAATGCACGCAGAGTTTAGGACAGTGCCCAGCACACAGTAAGCGATCAATAAATGTTAATTATTGATACTGTTATTTTTATGAGTGTTTCTGGCCCTAGTAAGGAGGGATGCAGGGCGGTAACCTTGCAGTTTGCAGGTGTGGTCATCCTTTAAGCCAAGGGTGCGCGGCCTCGCTCCCGTCCTCTTCAGCACACAGCAGTCGCGGCGAAGAGCGAAGAGGGACCGCGGTCTTGACCCCGCCTCACCACTTTTTTTTTTAAGGGAGGCTGGGCGCAGGCGCAGAAAGCCCAGCCGACCGCCTCGCGTCCGCCCTGACGCGCACGCGCATGGAGGGGCGCGCGAGTCCCCCGGAGAATTCCCGCACCCGTCCCGCGGCCGTGCTGTGCCGCGGCCCGGTAGAGCCTCTCATTTTCCTTGCTAACTTCGCCTTGGTTCTGCAGGGCCCGCTCACCACGCAGTACCTGTGGCACCGTTTCAGTGCCGACCTCGGCTACAATGGCACCCGTGACAGGGGTGGCTGCGGCAACCGCAGCGCTGACCCCACCATGCAGGTAGCGGCGGCGGAGGAGCCGGAGCTTGGCGGTGGGTGGGCCCTGAGCTAGACCCGGGGCGGTGGAGGGGGCGGGGGCCTGCGGAAAACAGGCGTGGGTGAGGGGCCTGCAAGCAAGGGGCTTATCGATTTCGAGTGGCGGACAGAGCCAGAGCAGAGTTGGGGCCGGATCCAGGACTGCAGTTTGGGGAATGCGTAAAGTTCGTCTAGATAAAGTAAGGCCTTGAGGGTTAACAAAAATGGGTAAAAGGGACTGGGACTTTGTCGATTTCCCATAATCTCCTCTCCAGTGCCAGTTTTTGAGTTGAACTAAAATTATGTGGGGTTAGAGCTTCAAAGAAAGTCCACACCCCTCCATCTATCAGGACGGGAATGGTTTGGAGGGTGGGTCATCCAAAGTCAGGGACCCTGGTAAGACTCATGTCCCTACAGGAAGTGGAGACCCTTACCTCCCACTGGACCCTCTACATGAACCTGGGCGGCTTCCTGGTGGGGCTCTTCTCATCCACCCTGCTGGGCGCCTGGAGTGACTGTGTGGGCCGCCGCCCAGTGCTCGTACTGACCTCGCTGGGCCTGTTGCTCCAGGTCCTGGTGTCCATCTTTGTGGTGCAGCTGCAGCTACACGTCGGCTACTTTGTGCTGGGCCGCATCCTCTGTGCCCTCCTCGGTGACTTCGGTGGCCTCCTGGCTGCTGGCTTTGCTTCTGTGGCAGATGTCAGCTCTAGCCGAAGCCGCAGCATCCGAATGGCCCTGCTGGAAGCATGCATTGGGGTGGCAGGGATGCTGGCAAGCCTCCTTGGCGGCCAGTGGCTCCGGGCCCAGGGTTATGCCAACCCCTTCTGGCTGGCCTTAGCCTTGCTGATAGTCATGGCCCTGTATGCAGCATTCTGCTTTGGTGAGACAGTAAAGGAACCAGTAACTGCCCGGCTCTTCACACTCCGTCACCACCGATCCATTGTCCAGCTCTACATGGCTGCAGCCCCAGAGAAGTCCAGAAAGCATTTAGCCCTGTACTCATTGGCCATCTTCATGGTGATCACTGTGCACTTTGGGGCCCAGGACATCCTGACCCTCTATGAGCTGAGCACACCCCTCTGCTGGGACTCCAAGCTGATCGGCTATGGTTCTGCGGCGCAGCACCTCCCGTACCTCACCAGCCTGCTGGTCCTGCGGCTTCTGCAGTATTGCCTGGCCGACACCTGGGTGGCCGAGATTGGCTTGGCCTTCAACATCCTGGGGATGGTGGTCTTTGCGTTTGCTACTGTCACACCCCTCATGTTCACAGGTAATGTGTGTGGGCTCCAGGACAGTTTGTCTCAGAGGCACTGGGTGAAAACTGGAGGCCAGCCACTTACTGCCCCCAGATATGGTTCATACCTGCCTCTGGAAACATTGTTATGCTCAGCATGCACTGGAGGACAACTAACCAAGAAACCTCATAGAGATGCCATCTCTGTTACATGGAAAATAGAGACCTTCAATAGCCAACAGAATTAACCTGCCTTATCAGCCATAAATATTGTTAGTAAGAGAGCAAAAGACAGACCCATGGCTTGTACGCTAATTGTGTCACCCCTTGGCCTCCCACAGCCTATATTCCTGGTGTTCTTAAGCAAAGTCCATACCATTTATGCCTTAATGCTCATTTCTCTGATAAGAATCACGGGACCTACGTCAAATATGCTTGGTCAGCTGCTTTCGGTTTGAAAAAAAAAACAGACCACAGACATCAAATTCCTGCTTGTGTTTAGTTCTTCCTTTTTTGGTGGGAGGGGTGGCTGGGAATAGGAAGTGAGCTTCTTTACAGGAACAGATTAATTTTGTTAGAGCTCTAGAGTATGTTGTTAACAAAATCAGTTGTTCACTAATCATACACTTCTTAGCTTGACCGTTTGCCTGGAGAGTAGGCTGAGGGAGGCCAGTTACTTTTCTCTCCCACCCGCAGCATCTCCCATGGACCTGGTGCCAGGCTCAGTGGCCTCAGGGGTGCAGAGATGATAAAGATACTGTTGTTGCTCAAGGAGGGTCCTCAGCAGAATGGGATTTGGGTTCCTGACACCAAAGGGGCCCTGGGTACCTCATCAGATACCCAGTTTCAAGGATCCACTGTCCCCTAGGAGCTTGCAGTTTTGCTGAGGAGGCAGCAGTCACACAAAGGAGAGAAATGGTTAAGCAGGGAACAGCATAAGCCTGTAACTAAACGCAGAGGGAAAGGAACTTGCATTTACTGTGTGCCTGTGTGCCATATTCATGGATGTCACCTCACATATTCATTTCCTAGGGCTGCTTGTAACAAATCATTGCAGACTTGGTGGCCTGGCAGAGCAAATTTACCCTCTCAGTTCTGGCAGCCGAAGTCAAGAATCAGTATCACTGAGCTGAAGTCCAGGTGTTAGCAGGGCCCCACTCCCCGGGGGGGTTCCAGGACGGAATCCGCCCATCGCCTCTTCCAGCACCCAGGGGTTGGCAGCATTCCTTGGCTTCAGGTTGCATCTCCCCGATCTGGGCCTCCATGGTGACATCCTCTTCTGGCTGCCTCCTCCGTTCTGTGTCAAATCTTTTTCTGCTTTCCTCTTGTAAGGATTCCTATGATTGCATTTAGGGCCTAACCAGATAATCCAAGATAATGTCCCCATCTCAAGATCCTAAACTTAATCACATCTGCAGAGACCCTTATTTTCTAATAAAGAGGATTCCAGGGATTAGGACTTTGGAATATCTTGGGGGCCATTGTTCAGCCTGTTATACCCCAGAACCATCTTGCGATGAAGGCCTTACTCTCTTACGGTTAGGAGTCAGGCCCAAGGCCACACAGCTCGTAAGCAGTGGCATCAGATTTTGAACTTCAGGCTGACTCCAAAACCCAGGTTTGTTTTCTGTGCTCTGCCATCTGCCTACTAAGTGCTAGGGGGGTGGGTGGTGTCTGCTGTGACCACAAGAGGTGTTCTGACAAGAATGTATATGGTGGGGAATTGGCATTCACTCGTGAAGGAGGTAGCAGGTAGGCCAAGCCTTGAGGAGGGTGGTCTCCATTCCCCCTTGGTCATTGTCTCCACCATCAGGGAAGTTCTTCCCTGTGTCTAACCTGCATCTCACTTGTAGACCCCTCTCCCCAACCCCATTTTCTTGATGATTGTTTTTCCTCCTAAGGGTACGGGCTCCTCTTCCTGTCATTAGTCACTACACCTGTCATCCGGGCCAAGCTCTCCAAGCTGGTGGGCATGTCAGAGCAAGGTGAGTGTCAAGGTCAACCTGTGTCTGGTTCCTCATGCCCAGTGTTAGGATTTGAATCTAGGTCTTTCAAAAAAGGATATTTGTTTCTTCACAGGTGCTCTCTTTTCTGCTGTGGCCTGTGTGAATAACTTGGCCATGCTGACAGCCTCTGGCATTTTCAACTCACTCTACCCAGCCACTCTCAACTTCATGAAGGGATTCCCCTTTCTTCTGGGAGCTGGCCTTCTCCTCATCCCAGCCCTTCTGATTGGGTAATGCATGGCTCTGACCAAGCTCATAATGCCCTTTATCCCTCAGCTTTCCTCTTCTTCTTACAACCAGGAATGGCAGGCTTATCCCTGGAGCCCTTTCCCTGTGGGTGTCTCAGCCCCAGCCTGACTCTCCCCTTGCAGATGGCTACCCAGTCCTCTGGGAGCCATTTCCCAAGGGCAAGGAAGAGGGGTGGCAGGAAAAAGGGCAGGCTTGCTTCCTGTCAGGGCTGTGTTCTCTCCCCCAGCTCCCCTTGTCCCATTCCATTCCCACTTTACAGATGAACTATGGTGGCAAGCCTGGAGCTCTACCTTGGCCGGTTGTGGCTGGGCCAAAGCTAGCCTGACCCACTGACTTCTACCCTCATAGTCTTCAGAGTCACTGTCCAGAGTCCTGTGTCTCTGGACATTGTCTGGTCTTCCACTGTTCCGCCTGCGGAGGGGGATACCTGTAACAGCCCATCCAGGAAGGCCTGTGTCACTTCTTCAGGAGTGGGGGGGTGGGTCCCCCATGTCAAATCTGAACCCTCTCTCTGGTCTCTCACAGAATACTGGAAAAGGCTAATCCTCACCCTGATCTGGCCACACCAGAGGACAGAGGGCAAAGGGAGTGACGTGAACACTCATCGACTGGAAGTATGCATGTGGGATTCTAGCCCACGGGAACACCAGCAGCCCCCCACAGAGGGCAGTGATTCCCTCAGACAAGGTAGTCAAGCTAGACCAAGGCCCCCACCTCTCCTGCTGATGTGGTGGCCTATGACTGCAGGATTTAGACCAGGGCAGGCAGTGGGAAGCCTTTGGAACAGGGGTCTGCTTACCCTTTGTGCCATCAGCCACAGAACCCTCTGGGGGTGAGGAGAGGTCCTGATGGAGGTGATGCTTTGGGACCAGCTGAAGCATAACAGCTGGCATCTCCCTTTCCAGCCAGAACTGCATAGATCCCAGTCTCTTTAATGATGACTGGGATACCTGGTCAGTGCCAGCTCTGTTGGGGAGGGAGGGTTGTGGGTGGATGGGGCCCGGATCCCTCCAGAGGGGTGGGGCTTGCTGCTGCCTCTGGGTGGGAATCAATTCCCTGGGCTTAGCAGTGCCAATTGTAATAAATCAATATAGTCACACTGAAGTGTACCTTCTGGCTCCCAAGGCATTGAGCTGTGGGACCCTGCTTTCCTGTTCCCAGTTTGTCCACAACTGGTCAGATAGCAGCTGCTGGGCTGGCAGGTGTCCCTGAACTGCTGTGAAATTGGTATGGGGCGGAAGTCTGACTGCCCATTTTCTTCTCCTGAACTGTTGGGAGATGAAGGGCTTCCAGGCTTGGATCTGGCCAGCAGAGGCCCAGGGCAGAGCCCTGGTCACTCTTTCTCCAGGGTCAGAGATCCACTCCCTCAAGGCACCTGTACTGGTCTTCGTGGCTACACCAGCCCAAGCAGAATCAGCATTTGTTATCACTCAGCGCTGCCCACATCTCCCATCGCTAGGCATTTCAGCAGGGCCGTGTGCTGAGACCATCCTGCATGCATCTGTAGGCCAACAGAATCCTGGATATGGCCACCATGTGTGAAATGAACCAGGGGCCTGGAAAGTCTGGCCCTGAAGCTGAAAGGTGGAATCAGATTCAGTGTGAAGGCACTGGCTTTGATGAATGCCAGAAGCCCCTGAGCAGATCCAAGACAGCTGTTAACTTGGTTCTTCCACCATAATTGGCCAGAGGGTTTGGTTCCCTGCTGCCATTTCTACCCTCATTCTCTCTTCACTTGACCTGCCAGCCAGTTACCTGGCTGGAAGTCATGCAGGTAAATGGGGGTGGCCCAGGGTCAGCTGTGGCCTCTGCAACCTGGCTTGTTTCCAGATTCCTCCATGAAGGGCTAGGCTAGCAATGCCCCAAATCATCTGATTGTGGTTGGACGATTTAGGAAATGTTGGGTTAGATAATGGTCTCAGATCCTTCCCATCTCATACATTCTAGAATGAGATGCCTCTCTGTAGGCCGAAGGGAAGGATGAATGAGTTGGGGCTGGACTTTTGACCTTTGAGTGTCCCTGAGCAGTTGTTGGTCCCTGGGGAGGGGTGCAGTGACATGGAGCAGGGACCTAGCTGACTCAGCCCCTACCTGAGGGCCGCAGCTAGACCAGCTGAGCAGAAAACCCTGACCCCACAGACCGTCAGAGCAGGCTGCAGGGGAGAGGCTGTTTCTCAGCCCTCTATTTCAGGACCAGCCCTGGGGGGCCAGGCCAAGGCGCCCATCCCAGCTGTGATGTGGGCAGTGATTGTCACGGCAGGAGGGGAGGCAGTCCCTGGACACACTGCCCTGGCCGGGTGGGTGGGCAGCAGCATCACGTCTGCTGCTCTGATGGGGTTGGAGGTCGGGCTGTGATTCCCAGATGACCGGGGGTGGGGTGGGTGTTGGGAGGAGTGGAGAATGAACTGAACAGAAGGAATGGCCAGGAAACCTCCCTGCATACAGCCAGTGGGGGACCTCAGGAGGGAGTGGGACTGATTTGAGACAAAAAGACAGAAAGCTCCCCCTGGGGGACACTGATCATGCTGTATTGGTACTGTCTCTGCTCTGTGAGGGCAGTGTCCGGTCTGCCTCAGCCACCACTGTATCCAGGGCCTGGCCCTGGCAGGCACTCATGTGGCATGAAGGAAGGAGGGTTGGGTGCAGTGAAAGCCAGAGTTGGGCTGGATCTGCTACAGACAGGATCTTGGCCGGGAGGGGAGTTTAGGAGGAAGGAATCCCAAGCCTGGAGTGAGACTTTTGACTTTCTGACTGTGGCTCAGGAGCGAAGAGGGACCTGGAGGAGGCGGCTCTGGCGGCTGAGCCAGCTTTAAAGTGTGAGCCCCTACCCCAGGAGGCAAGAGGCAGTTGCCAGCTGACCCCAGGGGCTGAAGCCTGGCTTTGCTGGGGGTAGGATACCTTCCTGCTCTCCTACCCTAGTGGAGGAAGGGGCAGAGGGACCCTCCTGCCCACTTATTTTGATAAAGCCCCTGGGTTAGCCTCTCACTGCAAAAACCTATCCCCCACTGCTGGGTTCTTAGGAGCAAGAGAGAAGCTGGGTGTCTGTGGAACAATAGTCCTGCCCAGGGCCCAGCCTCCAGGATACTCAAGAGAGCAGTCTCACTGGCAGTGGGACCAGGCACTGAGCACCAGGAGCCGAGTCTGGACCCTGGGGCTGCCACTTGTGACCTGGAACCTGGGCAGTTCACTCAATTCCTTCTTGTAAAATGGAGATACCAGGTAGGGTTGGTCTGACGATCACAAAGACCATGGAGTGGCGTGTCGGGGAAATGGCAGATTTGAGAGGGGTTTGTTTCAGTGTTGTTATTTAAGGTGTCATTTCTTGACCAAAGTGTAGGCTTATTCAGGAAGCTGCTAGAAATGGAGAAACTTAGGCCCTGCCCACCCCAGGTCTCCTGAATGAAATTTTAGCAAAATTCCCAGGTGACTGGACTGCACTTGGCTCTTCTCTAGGAAGGCCTCTTCCCACAGAGCTGCAGGTTCTCGGCCCAGGCTATTGCTACCGCCACAGGGGGCTGCTTCGCCCCACCTCCCCCTGAGCACGTGAGTGAGAAGCGTTGGGTGGGCTGGGAAGCCAGCTGCGCTGGACCAGGCAGGAACCTGAAGCACAGCACCGAGGCACTGGTAGGGTGGCTAGCTGCCCTTTGAGATGTGGCCTCCCCTGCCCAGACCGAGGACCAGCTAGGGGCTCATGTGCACCAGTGAGTGTAGCAAAGCTGGCCACGGCTGCAGACCAGCCAGAGTGAGGGCTGGCTCAGCCCACCCCCGACCCTGGATGAGCAAAGGAGGCTGTGCCTCAGCAAGGCTGGGAGAGGACTTGGGGCCAAGCTAGGTGGCTAAGGGCACTGAGTGGTGGCAGGGGCAAGGTCACAGGGTAGTGGGAAATGGGGAGCCCAGGAGGCAGGCATGGTCTAGCTGGAGAGCCATCACTGGATTCTCATCCCCCAGTGGCTCCTGGGCCCAGGCCCTTGCTTCGCTGAGAGGGCTGGGCATTGCCCTAATTCATCAGAGGCTGCCTGCCTACCCCTATGCAAGCTGGCTGCTGTCAGGGCAGGAGGCGGACTAGTGTGCAGCCAACCCTCCATCTCTGTGACTCTACCACACCTGAACAGAGACTCTGGTGGCAGACCTGGGGGAGTTCTCTTAACTATTAACCACTCACAGTTCCTGGCATCCCTTCCTTTTCCAGATACTGAGGACACTGGGTTTGAGGTGGGCCAGAGGGCAGGGGACAGGAGAGCCATTTCCTGAGAAGGGCCCATGCTGTCTCAGCCCAGGGAGGCCAGTTTGAGGAGCTGCTCCTTCAGAAGGGACAATGGAACAGGGGTCACAGCCAGGCTTGGGAACTAGGGACTGGTTAAGTCGGCCCCATGGGGGCAGCACCCTCCAAACTGGTGTCGGAGCCCGCAGATGAGTCCCGGGAGGAGCGGCCCTGCAGGAAGCGGATGATCTTCTCGATGGTGGCCTCCTGGTACTCGTGGGACCACCTGTGGGCACAGAGGCTGGTGGGTCAGGGGCTGGGCAGAGGGAGCTGCTGGCTGGGGGGCCCGAGTACCTGTCCCCAGCTCCTCACTTGATGCCATTGAAGGTGAGCACAGCCTGCATGTCCTCAGGCAGAGCCTGGGGCTCTGGCCACTCAAAGCCATCAATGATGGGCACAATGTTCTTGCCACAGCTCAAAGCAGTCACAATCTCCTGGAGAAAGAGAGGGGAGGGGGAAGAGACCTGGGTCCCCAAGTCAGGGATCCTGGGGCCAGGCAGATGCCTGGAGGGCCAATAACCTAAGGCCGAGCCCAGGATGGGGTGCTGGTCCTGAAATCTATCTTGATTTCTCTCTCACCCCTTGTGGTATAATTAAAAATAAGTATCTGCTCTTTGTCCCAGCTTTGGACACAGAGCTCCTAAAACCCTTGGAATCTCCAGATGTCTGGGATGGGAGGGTAGGGATGTTTCGGGACAGGGGCTGGTCGCCAGAAAGACCAAGCTATGATTACAGGGTTGAAACTTTTACACAGACACACCCTTCAAAACACACAGGCCACTAGGGAGGGGAGAGAGGCCAGAGACTGAGTCCAGTCACCAATGGCCAATGACAATCATGCATACTTATGAGAAAGAGCATGGAAGTGGGACAAGGATCATTGCCATTGTAAAATCTACTTAGCCTGCAAAAAAGGCCCATTTTATTCTTAAACTTAATCAATATGCTGTTCTTCTTCTTCCAGCCCTTTAATCAATTAAGTAACTTTGTAACCAGGACAAGAAACAGATCCCCGAAGTGTGAATGAACCTATGTGGATAAGGAATGCTGTGATCTGGATCAACACAGTCACTTATATAACCATATTCTTAAAACTAAACTTCAAAGGAATTATGAATCACGTGTATACATCATGCCTGATGCCGACCCCTATCCAAAGGCCCTATAAAACCCCAAACCCTAAACCCTTAAATGTGCCTACTCTCTGAGGTCACCCACCCTCCTGTCTGAGTGTGTACTGTCTGACATCAAACAAACTTTATTGCTGCAAAAGCCAATTGCACTTGTCTCTGTACTCTTTTCTGTGATAAAGACGAACTTGCTGACTTCTACCTCCGTTGGTAAATGTCTGTCATGTTGCTATTTCATTCAGCTTTCTAGTCTTAACAGTCCTTTTCTCTCTCCCTGTTTTATTTCGGACCAGTAGGGAAGTGGAAGTTCTCAGAACATAATCTCACTCCACGGCTCCCCCAAATCCTGGGGTGGTAGGGGCCTAGTTCCCATGCTGTGCAGATTCAAGCAGACGCTGGACACTAGGTGACCCTGACTCCAGGAGTTGGCAAGGGATTTACCCCATGTCGAGCAGGAGTTCCCTTTCCTCCCTCTGTTCTTCCTTGCGCTCTACTGTCTGCACACCTGCTGACATTCGCTTCTATCTTGCTTTAATGAATTCCTTCCCTACCTACACTTGTCTGACCTGTTTGTGAATTCTTTCTCAGAGTCAAGAATCCTCCCCTGTCTGGGCTGAGGTTTCACCTAGTACACAGAGAGATCTCCCTTGGCAACACCTGCATAATGAGACCTCCATAAAAGCCACTAAGGATGGGGTGGGTTGGTGAACACATCTAGGTATGGAAGCTCTGTGCTTCCCCTGCCCATGCACCCACCTCCCATACCTTGCCTTCTGCGCATCTTACATTTGGATGTTCCTGAGTTGTGTCCTTTATAATAAACCAGTAATAAGTAAGATGCTTTCCTCAGTTCTGCATGTCATTCTAGCAAATTACTGACCCTGAGGGGTTGGTCACAGGAACCCCTGAATTTGTAATCAAGTCAGATAAAAGTGCAGGTAGCTTAGGAACCTGGGACTTCTGACTGGCATCTGAAATGAAGGCAGACTTAATGGGGCTGTACCCTTCAACCTGCGGAGTCTGACACTGGCTCTGGGTAGTTAGTACCAGAATCAAACTGAATTGTGGGACACCCAGTTCGTGATGGTGAGTTGGAGAACTGGTAGTTGATGTGGGAAAAACCTCACACAATTTGGTGTTAGAAGAAAAACATCATACCTACTGCAGCAAAATTGATCCATCATGAGACCTGCCAATTATCCTCCTTACTTATTTCTCAAATCCACTTACTTTTCTCTGCCTCCATCCCACCACTGTCCTGCTCCAACCTCACTTATCTTTATCCCCCATCAGGTCTCTCCTCATCTACTTTTGCCCCCTCTAATTTGTTCTCTATGGTGACCCTTCACCTAGCTACTCTTCGCAAAATGCAAATATGATCCTGTCACCTGCTACTTAAAACTCTCCAAGACTTTAAATGGATCCTAGAATAAAGTTCAAACTCCTTAATGTGGTCTGAAGGCCCTGTGTGGTTGGCTATGGCTTGCTTCTCAGACTCTACCCCTGCACTGTCTTCCAGCCATACAGACCTTGCAGCCCCTTCGATGTGCCATCTCCCTAGAAGCACAGGGCCTTTGCACATTCTGTTCCCTCTGTCTAAAATACTCTTCCTTGCCCCTTCACCTAGCTAATGCCTACTTATTTTTGTGATCTGAGCTCAATCAACAGTTTCTCCGGACCTCACTTCCCTCACCAGGTCAGATTCCCCTGTCATAGGCTTTCATAGGCTCTGCAGCACATGCTACAATTTCAAATTTAATTAATGGGTAATTTATTAAACATCTGTGTTCTGCATCAGGGATAAGGGCAGAGACTACACTGAGATTTTTTTCCCCCTCACCTTTTATTTCAGCATCTTTCAAAAAGCCCTGCCCACAGTCAGCCCTTGCTAAATACTTAGTGCATGGCTGGATGGCAGGATGGCTGAGTGAGACAAGATAGCATAGCACTCTGGAGTCATCAGATCTGGGTTCACCTCGAGTCTCTGACATAGGCTTTGTGACCAGAGGCAAAAAGAATAGATCTCAAAGCCTGTTTTCTCACATATAGAATAGGGTTAGTGGCAGACAATTTGGTAGGACTGTTGGGAGGAATAACTGCATTATCCCATGGCAAGTGGTCAGAACAGCACCTAGCATGTAATGCATGCTTAATAAGTCATAGGTGTTATTATTTATTTCCTCCTCTGTAAAGTGAGGAATAATAAACCTGCCTCACAAGGTTGTCCTGAGGATACTACTTACTATTAGTGGGTGCTCTGGTAAATGCTTATTGAATCATTTCAAGGGGGAGCCACAGGGATTGGACTGTTCAGTGCTGTTCACTTGTGGTTTTCCATATTGATTACTCACTAAATGTGGCTTCGGGGAAAGGAGGTTTAAAACCAGAAGCAATTAAGCACTAAAAACAGCCCAGGAGGGATGAGGCAGCCTTTGGGATTAGTCCAAGGTAAAGGCTCCCACCACTCTGCCTGCCTCCTCCCTCCTTGCAGTCTGCTGGGACAATGATGGGTGCCAAGCACCCTAATGGAGCAGATCCTTCCTGGGGAGAGAACCTGCATGACTTTGACCTTGACTGGCTTCTGGGTAACCTCTCCATTTTATGAATGAGAAGGAAGCCCAGAAAGGAGAGGGACCTGCTCCGAATTTACACACATGTCCATCCCAGGAGGGGCCAGGCCTCTGACTCAAGCCTTCAGATTCCAAGTCCTGGGCTCTTTCAACTAAGCCCTCTGCCTCTCTGCTGAGAATTTGGATGAATTATGATCCTGCAGAAATGCATTCAGGAACCTTTAGACATTTGTTTCAGATTCATTTGCTTCATCAATAATTACTTAGCACCAAATCCATTTCAGAATCTGGCCTGGAGAGGAGTAATGGCTTGTTCAATATCACCTAGCTGGTTTAGAATGAAAACTTAACTAGAGTTAAGTTGTCTGACCTGGTAAACCTAGTGGAAATGTTCACTTTCCCTAGTTATCTCAGCTTCCAGAATCACTCATCTGTTTAGTCATTCATTCAATTATTCTATAAACTCTTCAGAGCCTACTTTGTACCTTGCATGATTTTAGACATCAGAGATAAAGTGAACAAGGCCAGGTCTGCGCTCTCATGGAATTCACAGACACTCCTCTCTTTCTCTCAGAAGGACACCTGCACCTGCTCTAGGCCATCAGTCATAATCCTCCAGGGTGTTTCTTTGGCCTAGCACCTCCTCCCCAAACCAAGCCCAGTACTCAGCCATGAACACACCCTCTTCTCCACTGTCAATCTCCACTGTTCTATAGTGTCAGAATTTCTCCCTAAAGCCCACTGTTCTGGCATCATTGCCCTCATGGGGTCCCTTTTCCCAGTGTTATAAGTATAGGTCTTCTCCCAGCCTTTAGACACAACCTGGTTCCATAGTTCTTACAGTCAGTGGTATGCTGATAAATACTTAACAACCAGCTTGCCAGGGGGCAAAAAAAAAAAACCCCGCTAGGTTTGCAGCCAAATGAACAAATAAAACCCTGATTTGAAGGATCTACCGATTTCTGTAGTGTAAATACTCTCACCATGGTTGATTTCAAGCTAGCAATATGATGTCACTGAATGTAGAGTTGGGAAGAGATACAGTCATCTCTGTGTCAGCTGACTCCAGCCCTATCCCACTACCTCTCCTCATACCACTCCGATCTGTGCCATGGAACACAGTCAGGTCCTGGGAAAGATCAGGGGCTGTGGGTCAGATGGATGGAGTTCAAAGCCCAGCTTTTCTGATTTCTACACCAGTGTGGCCATGGGAAAAAAGTACTCTACTTCTCCGAGCCTCAGTTTCTTCATCTGTAAGATGGAGAAAGCAATACCGGTGATTCGTGTAGGTGTTTGGCACCCTTCTTAGCCCTATTTTTGTTCTTTGCTCTTGCTGTTTCCCCTGCCTGGGATGCCTTCCCTTCCACTTACCTAAATTCTTAAGACACTTCTCACATTTTGCTTCCTCCATGAAGCCTTTCCAGATTATTCTAGACCTCAGTGTTTTCTTTCTTCTCCGTACCTCTATGGCAAGTAAGAGGCTCATTTAGCTCAGCATTGACCCCAACTTATATATGATCTAGTTATTCTGGGCATATTCTTGTCTCCTTAGCTGCTTAAGGATAAGGGCCCATGTCAGATAACTATTGCATTCCTCAGCCCTAGCCCCAATTCCTACTCACAGATTAGTGATTAATAACTTGCACATGTGATACGGATCCATCCATCTATCCATCTATCCATTCTGCAAATATTCAAAGAGTTTCTACTGTGTGTCATGCACTGAAGATACAATGGTGAAATAAACAGTGGTAAGTATGCATAATAAATTCATAAACTAGGCATTCTGCTAAACACTTCAAAAATTTTAGCTCTTTTAATCTTTATAACAATATCCTAGGGAGTTTGGTACTATAATTATCCCACTTCACAGTAATAGACATGAAGGTCATTGGGGTTACATAAGGCCAGGGCCAGGATTCAAACCCACAGCTCTCTGCTCTTAATGATTCTATTGTGCCTGTCACTATGCTCTCCTGTGCCCCCTTCCCTCACAGATCATTTTCCAAAGCATTTTCATTCTTCTCTGACTCTCACAGCAATCCTACCAGGTGAACAGGACAGGTAAGTTATCCCCATTTTGTAGATGATAAAACTGAGGCTCAAAGAGTCTAAATGATTTGCTAGAGTCCTAGTACAATCGGAACTGTGGCTCCTGACTGCCAGCTGGGCCATGGAGGCTGCTGGGGTGTGTAGATGAGAAGGAATGGGAGGAGGACCTTGTCCCCGGCCTCAGGCCAATTCTGGAACCACAGAGGCCAGCCCCTACCTTGTGTACCCAGTCTTTGCAGTCGCGGTCCTGCATGCATTTGTCCAGTGCCCCAGCTGACAGCACCAGCACGAAGTTTCGGGCACCCATGACACTCTGGATGAGCTTGTCCTCAAACTTGCCTGCTTCCAGCTTCTCCACATCAATGAAGACACTGAAGCCGTGCAGCTGCAGGTGTACCTTCAGGAGGCTGTGAAGAGGTCCTGTGTCACTGCCCTGGGCTTGCCCCAAGGCCGTAGGCTACCTGCCCACCCCTCCTCACCTGGCCAGCTGGGAGCCTGAGTTCCGGCGGTAGCTGATGAAGACATCTGGGGTGTCCCCACTAGGTTTGCAGGCAGTGCAGGGAAGTGGGGAGTGTAGCATTTCTGAGGAGGATGAGACATGGCTTGGTGAGGGTGGTCCCTCCTCATCATTCACCATGAGGCTCGTCATTTCCTGCCCTCCCACAGTTCTCAGGCTAGCCCAGGCACAGAGGCTTGCTCCAAAAAGGGTCACTGAGGTAGAGAGATGGGGCCTACAGGAAGGAAGGCCACTAACTATTGGTGAGTCCCTCTCAGGAAGCAGACATTGTGCTTGCAAGGACATTGATGCACACCTCCAGCCCTGCCCTCTCCAGACCTGCACACCCAGCTGCCCCCAGGCTCTCCAAACCCAGCATATCCCAAATTCTCCTCTGGCCCCCTCCTTTCTAGTTCCTACCACAGCCAGAAACCTGGGCATTGGCCTCAAACCCCTGCTTCTCATTCATTCATTCAACAAATATTTAGTAAGTGTGCCAGGCACTATCCTTAGTGTATGGGATACATTAGTGAGCAAAACAGACAAATCCTGTCCTCATGGACGTGCAGAGCTCAGAGCTAGGCACTGTGTTCTGTGAACTCTTCCTGCTAAACGTCCTAGAGTCCAGCTCCAGTGCCTTCCCTCTGTCTAGGCCCCCAACTCCAGCCTCTTCAGTGGTCTTCCCAAATCCATACTTGCCCTGTATAAGCTGTTTGCACAGCTACCAGACTTTCTAAAATCTAAGTCTGAGTGTGTCATTGCCCCACTTTAAAAATAGGCATGGCTTCCAAATCACTGTTGAAGGGATTTGTAACCTTTTTTCGCAATAGCATTCTCCTGGTTTTAAAAAATGAAATCTTGGGGTTTTACTGAGACCTGCAATGTAAAATGACAGAAGCTAATATGCTTTGGTTGAAGCAAAAGAATGGGGCCAAAGCCCAGCCCCTTGTCCCTAGTAGAAGCTTAGTACATACTTGCTGAAAGAATGGATGAATGAAAAGAATCCATTTTCTTACAATATTCAGACTTAATGCTCAGTAACAATATCTGTCTATTTATGAAGCAGAAAGACAGAGGTTCAAGTCCCAGTTCAGTTATTTAATGAGTTATAACCATGGAAATTTAGATTCTTTTTATCTTAGTTTCATCATCTTTAAAATTAACACCCTTGATGGTAATTATACAGAGGTATGCATTTTTTGAACCTCTTCAGACTGGACACTTCTAAATGAAATTATACCTTGTTTATTGTTTAAAATGTTTCTTAAAATTTATTTTAAAAAAAATTAACTCCCATTACATACAATGCATGTAGAGATTAATGAGGTAATATCAGTTAAAAACAGTATAGGACCTGCCATATATATTTGCCAATAAACATTAGCTAAATAGTAAATTAAGATAAATGAGTAAATAAAGAGGGTTGCTAGAGCCCTAGAATCCACTCAGCCCTCAAGACCTTCCTAAAGCACCTTCAGAAGCCATACTTTGTAAGCTGCTGACTGATAGGATGAGTCCCTCTATCTTCCTACCCATACACCGAATGTGCCCCCTCCATGTTCTGTCTTACCTATTTCCACATGCTACTCCGTCTGCCTGGACTGCTCTGTCTGCTGAACCCCCACACATGCCCTGTGCCCTGCCCCCCCACCCCAGGTGTCCTCTGGCCATGGTCAGGCGTTTGCTAAAGGACAGGGTAGGCAGTGCTTCCTCTGGGCTCCCACTGGAGTCCTGGGCATGCCTCCCGCTGTTTACATACTGCCCTTACTGCCACACTCTACCCACCTCTGATTGGGAACTTCCTGAGGGCCAAGAGCAACATATTCATCTTTGCATCCTCAGAGTCCAGTCTGGCACATCATTTGTGCTCAAATCCACAGTGAGGCTCTGAGGCCTTACCAGGTGTCTCCCCTCGCCCCTCCAGGGCTGGGGCCAGGGCAGGGCTGGGGTCCCAGATGGGCAGGCTGACCTCTGGCAGCCGTGATGATGCGGGCACGGTGCACACCCAGGTGGATGCCACAGTCCTCCAGGAGCTGCTGCTCGGACACGCGGTGCAGCAAGGAGCGGTCCAGGCCGCAGCTGACCAGGCCATATGTGTACTGGCGGAAGCGCGGGTCCAGGCTGCCCAGCCAGTCAGCCAGGTTGCTGCGGTCGCACGTAGCGTAGTTGGCGAAGGTCTTGAGTTCCGTGAGCTCCCTAAAGAATCTGCACCCCAGGGAGGAAAGGTCGCTGAGGTCCTTACTCTGGACTGGCTAGTGGCAGAGGGGGCGTTTAGAGGGGCGGGTGGGCAGGAGGCTCTGTACCTTTTTCGGATGATGCCCGATTTCATGCCTAGATCGGTCTGGAGTTCCTCTTCCGTGAGACGCAGAAGCAGGTCGCCATCTACCTGCTGCTCCTGCAGAGGGGTCAGATTAAGGAAGGGCTCCCCTCCTTAGCCCACGGATTCCAAGCACAAGATGCAAGGGAGGGGAACTGGAGACGGCGGTGGAGCAGGCGGATGGAACCCAGATCAGAGCCGATTGACCCTTAAAATGGCTAAGCACGGGCTCTCCACCCCCCAAAAGGCTACATGGTAGCCTTGTGCAGGGCGCCCCCTAGCGGCCGCGCGCCCTCAGGGATGCTCGGGCTCCGACCCGAGGAGGCGGCCCCGCGCGGCTCTACCCTAAAGCGCTCGCAGTACTGGGAGAACCCGATCTGTTGCAGCCACGTCTGGACCTCAGCCTCCTTCCAGCTGGCTACGCAGGGCAGGATAGGCCGCGGCACCTCCTCGCCCAGCAGACGCAGCGCGCGCTTGGCCAGCGCCGACGTGGTGCCATTAGTGGAGTAGGAAACCAGGCGTTTCAGGCTCTGGATGGCGCCAATGTCGCTGAATACCTACAGAGGGTCGGGGGAAGGTCGCTGAATACCTACGGAGGGTCGGGGGAAGGGCATCTTGGATCCAACAGCTCGCCAGCCTCTTCCAAACCTCTGCCCTAGCCCTGCCTTCATCCAATAATCCTGTAGGTTCCCCCTCCTGCAACTCGATCTCAACTCCTGACCAGGTAGGTTCTCCTCCTGTCTCTCCTCTGCAGCTGCCTTCTGCCCTGGGATCAAGTCTGAGCCCTGGGATCATGTGTGGCACAGTGCAGCCCCTGCCTGCCACTCCTAACTCATCTTCCCTTTCACAAACCCACACTTGCCTGACACCCACCCACAAAGGCTCTCCCACTTCTGAGCCTCAGCCCATGGTGTTCCCAAACCCTTACTCCTTCCAGCCTGCTTGTGGTAATCCTACTCATCCACTGGAATCCAAATTGATTAGCACTTCCTCCATGCAGCCTGCTTTGTTTTCCTCACCATTTGCCCATACCTCCAATTAGGCCTTGTACCACACTCTGAACACTGCTGTTGCTAGTTGATAATGCAGTTTTCACTGCAATAAACTGAGGTCATGTCTTAGTCATCCCTGGAGTCCCATACCTGGCACACTGCAGGGCCCAGAATGGGGGCTCACTATGTCTTTACTGAACTACGCTCATTTGGTCTTGCTGGGAAAGGATTGTCAGAGGTGGGGTCATGGCTGCTGCCCAGACCCAATCCTTGGGGTTCTCGCTCTCTACTTCCCCTCAAATCTCTTCTCCCAAAGCAGAATATCCTGATTGTAAAGCCAGTCCTCCCATGACTCTACTCTGGGGCACAGAGAGCAGAATCAGAAGCTCCTAGAACACTGGACCTTGGAAGAAGCTTCAGAGACCCCCTAACACAACAGTCTTCTTGATATGTGGGAACACACATGAGAAGTGACAATCACCTGTGAGACACAGTCCTCTGAGCAGCCCCAGATGACAGCAATGGTACAGACAGGGTGGTCCAATGGTGTGTATCACTCCCTGTGCACCAACCCGAAACCCCCAACCCTAAACCCCCAGAGGAATGCAAAGGAGAGAGAGTGACATTATAGGGATTATGCTGATTCTGTAACATTTAAAAAAAAAACACAAACTTTTGATAATTTGACTATCCCACTAGTCCCACATCCAGGGTAAGAACTACTGCTGTGGTTGACTCCTTCCACTTTTCAGAGTGTAAAAAATGAGGCATATAGAGACTCAAGGGGGAAGCCAGGTACCCAAGTGCACATACCAAGTGAAAGCAGAGGGCAGAGTCTTCAGATCACACCCCCACACATGACTTCTAGGGACTCAGCTGGGAGTTATCTGGCTGACACGCTCATGTCCTGCCTCTGGCCTCTGTCTCTATATTCATCTTCCTTCTGGCCTCCAGACCCAAATGACAAAATGCCCCCCTGGAGCTCCCCAGCGCATGCGCCTCGAACCCAATCTCTCCCAGTGAACTCAGCCCTCATGACCTTCCTCTCCCCCACTCCAACCTGTCTCACCCAGTTCCCCTTATTTCAGTACCGGGTGCCATCAGTCACTGGGTTGCCTAGGTCCAAAGCCAGGAGTCATCCACAGCTCTCCTCTCTCCTTCACTCAGCCATCCACCAAGTCCTAATTCTGTCTCTGCCTCGGCTGCCACGCTCTAGTCCCGACCTTCACCTTTCTGCCCCCTTATCATGGCCTCCTATCTGGGCCCCTTGCTTCCCACTTGCCAATTCATCTCCACTCAGCAGCCAGGGTGATCTTTGTAAAACACAAGTGTCCCTTGCTTAAAAAACTTGGTGTTGCCTTCAAGGCCAGAAAAACTAGCTCCTCATCCTTCTCCTTGCTTCGCCTACCTCTTGTGTTTATTTCAAGTCCCAGTTGAATGTCTCTTTCTCTAGGAAGCCTTCCCAGACGCTCTCTAAGCCCCGACATACCCTACTGCACACCCGCACCCACCTTGGTCTTGCCCTGCAGGCTCTTGATGGCAGCCTCGGCACAGAGATAGAAAGCCCCTATGCACTGAGCCTCTAGGCGCGACGAGTCCAGCAGCGGCACGAGGCGCTGCAGGTCGTCGGGCCCGCGACCCTGGCTTGTGTCGCTGGCATCTACTAGGCAGCGGGCGAAGCGGCCGGGATCCAGCGAGGCCACGAGCGGCTCCACGAGCGCCAGCGTGCCCGAGCGCTCCACCTCGCGCTCCACCTCCTTGTTGGTTGCCAGCACCGCCACGGCGAGGCATGCGTGCAGCCGCAGCAGCTCGTCGTCTTTGGAGAAGGCGAGCGGGAAGAGCCACTCGGCGGCGCGCTTCTCCACCATGCGCCGCTGCGCCGCCTGGCCCCCGTGCAGCGCGCAGTTGGCCAGCGCCAACGCACAGTGACGAAGCAGCGCCGAGTCCGTGCGGCGGCACCAGTACAGCACCGCGTCCAGGCCGCCCGCCGCCACTAGCCGCTGGCACGTCTCCTCTGAGTGCTTGAACATGTGCTCCAAGATGCCTGCCACGCTGCGCGCAAGCTCCACAGGCTCTCGCTCCTTGGCCAAGTTCAGGATCACGCCCAGCCCAATACGCGCCACGCGGTCCCTGCCGAGAGAAAGTGGGAGGGGAACGGTGGAGAGTCCGCGGCCTGGGGTGCTTGGTTTGCTCCCTTGGGACCATGGGATGGTCACCTAACCTCTTCAGGCCTCACTAGTGCCATACAGGACACGAGGGAGAGCATTATACTCTCTGCCTCCCCGCCTCCCCGCCTGCCCTCACTTCCCCTATTACAAAGGTGTGCCATCCTGACCTAACCCATTTCCTCTCTTGCTGCCCTCTCAAACACCAGTCCCTCTTCCCCCCAGGAGAACCGGCACGTGCAGTGGTTAAGACTCCTAGGTCTGGAGCAGATCACCTGGGTCCTGGTTTCTTATTTGCCATTTTGTAACTGTGGGGCCTTGGGTTTCTTCCTTTGTCTTTAGACCTCAGTTTCCTCATCTCACAAATAGGCTAAAAAGAGTATGTATTCCATAGGATTACTGTGAGAACTAATGTAACAATCCATGTCAAGTGGTTGGCACAGTGCCTGTCACATAGGAAAGACTCAATATATGTTAACTTCTTATCATCATTTGAACTGACACTTGGAAGTACACCACTCTTAGCCTTGCCTTCAAACTTTTCTTCACTCCATGCAGAGTGATTAGGATGTATTTATGCATTCACTCAACAGACATTTCTTGAGGACCTACCATGTGCCAGGCACTCTGCTAGGGGCTGAAGTGAAACAGTGACTAAGAGGGGCTGGAGCTTATACACAGCTGATATGGAGACAGGCAATAAGCAAGGAAACAATGTGTGAACAAGACAGTGACATGACCATAATGATAGCAAAACCAAGGGATGCCATGGAGGATGCCTGGTGGAGGGATATGTCTGAGGAGGGGACATCCGAGAGTTAAATGCCCAGAGACTCCTGCCTCTGAGTTATCAGAGCATAACAGTCAGAGAACAACAGGGACAAAAGCCCTGAGGGCTGGTGAGCTTGGAACATTTGAGGAATGGAAAGAAGGCCAGAGGTCTCTGAGATGTCTAAAACCAACAAGGAGCAATATAAAACCAACAAGGGATTCATATATGTAGAATAAATAAGTAATAAAATCAACAAGAAAAGGGCAGTAAATCTAATAGAAAATGGGCAAAGGACATAAATGGGCAATTTATAAAAGAGGAAATCCAAAATGTTAAGCAAATAAAGAGATGCTCTAATTTGTTAGTCATCAGAGAAGCTAAAAGTAAAATAGCTATTACTTTACACCTATTAGGTAGGCAAAGGCCGCAGCTATGCAGTATGGAAGGTTGGGGAGGTGTAGGGCCACGAATGCCCTGAAGCTCTGCAGGTGGAGGTGCAGCCTTGGGCAGCCAATTTGGAGAGCAGGCCGGGATGAATGGGTGAAATTAAGGAGCCACACACCCTATGAACCAGAAATTGGGGCTCTTGGTTTTATACCCCAAAGAGATGGTCACACAGATCCACAAGAGGATGTGGTCAAGGCCACTCACTGCAGTGTTATTTGTAGTGGGGAAAGTTGGGCCCAGTGCAGTGTCAAGCCTGGGAGAGTGGAGAGGTAACATGAGCAGGTGCCTGCTCTGGGGGTCAAGGAGCAGTTACAAGGAACAGCCACATGAGGGATCTTAAAAACATAACATTAAGTGGGAAAACGTAAGTAATGGAATGTGTTATGTAACAGCGCCATTTGTGTAAATTAAAAATGTATGCACACAAAACAAGAATAAAGATTTTACCAGAATACAGATAGAAAGATACACATTAACCATAGTGAAAGATACACATTAAACATATTAAACAAATTTAGTCAGAAATACAGTGCAGACATTAGTCAAGAGAAGAAGGAGAAGCTGTATTCTAGGCATAGATGTAGGCCACAGCTTGGACGTAGCTGAGAGCTGGTACACTTGGGGACCTGCCCCACCTCAGCCATGCTGAAGTGAAGCCAGGCCACTTCAAGTGACTAAGGTGGACAGCACCAGGGAGAGTGAAGAGAGAGTCTTGGGGGCCTTTTGAGCCATCTCAAAGCATTTGTACTTTATCTTGGTGGCAAATGGGGACCCACTGAAAGCCTTCAGGAGAGGGGTTGACCTTTGTGGGTTTTAGGAAAGTCACTCGGGCTGCTGTGAGAGGACAGATCCAAGGGAGAGAGCCTGGAAGTCAGCAGGGCAGGCAGAAGAGTTGCCGTGCTCCAGGAAGAGATGAAAGTTTCCTATCTTCCTGACTTCCATAGTGACGTCCTCCACAGGTGATGTTAACCCTAAAGACTTAGGGAGTCTTTGTCCAGTGAGCACCACAGTGACCACAGTACTTGCGACTTTGTATCCACTGCAGGGCCCAGCTGAACCCAGAATATGGCAAAAGGCCAACACAGCTTTGCTGAGCTAATTTCTGAGCTTTCTGCAGTCCAAAGGAACAGATGGATCCTAATCATCCACTCAGGCAGCCAGCAATGACAGTTGTCCTTTTTACCAATGAGAAAGCCAAAACTCAGAGGTCATACGACATGCCCAAGGTTACACAGCTGGTGAGAGGCATAGATGGCATTTGAGTTTATATCTGTCTGTCCCCAGAGCTCAAGATCCTTTGTGGTTACTTTGTGTTTCTAAACAACCTGACTACATAAACTGTGTATATCAGAACCAGGATGTGCTTAAGCAATCATCTAACCCAACACCCTCATTTCTTGAGGATGAGTGAAGGGAAAGACTTATTCAGGAACATCAGTTCAGAAAGGGTACTTTATTCCATGTGTCTTGACAGAAGCTTTGCCTTTATCTAGCACTTGGCACCTTTACATAACCTGAACTGTGTGGTTGAAAACTATTCACTCATCTCTCAATTCTTCTGCCATCTGAGAGGCTGTGGGTCTGGATTCAAATCCCAGCTCCAAAGTAGGGGAAATTGTACATACCTACACATATACAAGCATATATACATGATATACACATATATGCAAATATTTCTATATGCATAGGCTTTCCCTGGAAAGACATACAAGAAATTTGTTTCACTGGTTTGCTTCCAAGGAGGAGGTCTGGGTGAAAAGAACTTCCAAGTGTGTAACTTTTTTGTACCTTTGCATGTTTTGAATGAATTTATGTGCATTGGTTTCTTCGTTGTTGTTGTTTTTTCACAAAAAACCTGTCTTCTCCACTTATTCACAGTGTATTCTTGGGGAAACCATTTACCCTCTCTTAGTTAAACCATTTAACCTCATTATGGTCCTTTGATGGGAAAGGACTGTGAATTTAGAGGGCTAGCAGTCAGATGGGGCCCTCACTGGGTGTCCTGGGACCAAGCTCAGGGGCCCCACCCTGTTGGGTCTCCTGGTATTTGGGGGTGAGGGAAGATGTGACCTAGGCTCCTAGACAGTGGGTATGGCAGCAACCTGGAGGAGAGCTGCAGGAAAAGGAATGACAGAGGTAGTGTGTTCGCTGATGGGAGAATCATCTTTAAGAGGAGATTGGTTGGTGGAGGAAGGAAAACATTTCATAAACACAAATTCTCAGGGTGTTGCCTCCTTCTCTCCCTTCTAGCCTCCTCCCTGCAGCACAGAGAGGTGAGGAGATTCTGCCCTTTGGAAGGATTTCGAGCTCCACTAAAGGAGCCCTGGGCTCTGTCCTTGGTCCTGAAGTGATGCCCGCTCTAGGAAGTTTTTCCTTGGGACCAGGGACATTGGTTAGTGTGACTCCTCTCTCAGTAACTCTGAACCAGGTGAGAATTGCTATTTTCAACCTTGAAAAATACCAGTGCAGTTTGCCTCTTGCAACCCTCTTCTTCCTAGGGTGTTGGCCTCCCCCATTCCCCAAGAGTTCTAGTTAAAGCCGCCACATCCCATGTACTAGACCTGCAGGGCACACCCGCCAACCCAGGACCACCACATTCAGTGAGCATCCACTCTGTTTGCTAGCCCTCCAAATTTACAGCCCATCCTTATTAGGATACCAGATGTTGGATGGGAGATTAATGACTTTCTGAACAAGCAGAACCCTAACTTGGTCTCCCGACTTTAATTGCTTCATTCATGCATTTTAAAAAGTTGTCTCATTTCCACCATCCACAGATTTTTTTTTTAACTTTTAAAAAATGGCAGGGAAAGCACTCCTAATCCTCATCCATCACACTGTGAGAACTGCATGAGCTGAAGACAATTTGGTACTGGCACAAGAACAGACCCATAGACCAATGAACAGACTAGAGAGTCCTGATATAAACCCAACCATATATGGTCAATTAATATATGATAAAGGAGGCATGGACACACAATGGGGAAACGACAGCCCCTTCAACAGCTGGTGTTGGCAAAAATGGACAGCTACATGCAAGAGAATTAAACTGGATTATTGTTTAACTCCATACACAAAAGTAAACTTGAAATGGATTAAAGACTTGATTTTAAGTCATGAAACCATAAAACTCTTAGAAAAAAACATAGGCAAACATCTCCTGAATATAAGCATGAGCAACTTCTTCCTGAACCCATCTCCTCGAGAAAGGGAAACAAAAGTAAAAATAAACTCATGGGACTACATCAAGCTTAAAAGTTTCTGTATGGCAAAGGACACCATCAACAAAACAAAAAGGCATCCTACAGTATGGGAGAATATATTTGTAAATGACATATACGACAAGGGGTTAATATCCAAAATAATCTAAGGAACTTACACACCTCAACACCCAAAAAGCAAATAACCCAATTAACAAATGGGCAGAGGATATGAAGACACAGTTCTCCAAAGAAGAAATTCAGATGGCCAACAGACACATGAGAAGATGCTCCACATCACTAATCATCAGGGAAATGCAAATTAAAACCACAATGAGATATCACCTCACACCAGTAAGGATGGCCAGTATTGAAAAGACTAAGAACAACAAATGCTGGCGAGGATGTAGAGCAAGGGGAACCCTCCTACACTGCTGGTGGGAATGTAAGCTAGTTCAACCATTCTGGAAAGCAATATGGAGGTTCCTCAAAAAACTAAAAATAGAAATACCATTTGACCCCAGAATCCCACTCCTTGGAATATACCCAAAGAATACAACTTCTCAGATTCAAAAAGACATATGCACCCCTATGTTTATTGCAGCACTTTTTACAATAGCCAAGATATGGAAGCAACCTAAGTGTCCATCTGTAGATGAATGGATAAAGAAGATGTGGTACATATATACAATGGAATACTATTCAGCCATAAGAAAGAAACAAATCCTAACATTTGCAACAACATGGATGGAGCTGGAGGACATTATGCTCAGTGAAATAAGCCAGGCGGAGAAAGACAAATGCCAAATTATTTCCCTCAGTGGAGTATAACAATGAAGCAAAACTGAAGGAACAAAATGGCAACAGACTCACAGACTCCAAGAATGAACTAGTGGTTACCAAAGGGGAAGGGTGTGGGAGGATGGGTGGGGAGGTGGGGAGAAGGGGACTGAGGGGTATTATGTTTAGTACTCATGGTGTGGGGGATCACAGGTAGAACAGTGTATCACAGAGAAGGCACATAGTGGATCTCTGGCATCTTACTACACTGATGGACAGTGACTGCATTGGGGTATGGGTGGGGACTTGATAATATGGGTAAATGTAGCAACCACATGGTTTTTTCATGTGAAACCTTCACAAGAGTGTATATCAATCATACCTTAATAAAAAATTTAAAAAAAAAAGGAACTGCATGAGCTGAAAGTGACCCTTCCAAAACCCTTCTCAACATGAAGGATCAGAGAATTCGGCATGAGACTAGAGTGTGACAGTCTGATCCGCTCTGGCATCAGAATGGAGAGAAAGTAAGTGCTCAGGGGTCCCAAGAGGCAGGCAACAACAGAGTGGCTGCCAGGCCTCATTTGGACACCACCTACTGTATCTTGGCACTATGTGGGGAAGGGGTAGAGAATACATACTCTGGCTGCTGCCTAGCCCCACACCTCAGTTTCTTCCTTCTTCCACCCATTCATCCCAGCAGAAAACCTGTTTCCCATTAGCAGCCACAGAATAAGATCATGTGTAGCCTCTTATGTGGACCAAAATGAGGAAGGAGGAAGCAAAACGTGGATTGGGGATGGCATGGAGGGGAAAAGTAGCCCTTAGGCCAGCACTCATTTCAGCTTAGAGAAGAGGGGAAAGGCCCTCCAACCCCTGCCAGTTATGGGCATTGTGTTCTCTTCCTCTCTCAGTGGCAGAGATAAGATAGCATGGGAGGGCTGCCAGGCCTACAGGGCGGAGGGTTGTGGGTTTAGTGGGGCATTGACAATAGGCTCCCGTGTCCATCCTCAGAACAGGGGCCAATTCCCACCACTCCATTCTTCCCCTCCCGTCATGCTTCATCCCACACCCTGGGAGCGAACTCTGGCTGCACCATTAGTTCACTGTGTGAGGATGAGCACCTCATTAAACTTTCCCAAGCCTCCTTTTCCTCATCTGTAAAATGGACACGCTGATCCCCAACAGGGGTATAGTGCAGGGATTTGGTGAGGTGAGGCAGGAAAGGCACGGTGCGAGTCACACGACAGCCCTAAGCACTGGACCGCCCTTGCGGCCCCCCAGCATCCCACGCTTTCCCCACCAGCCGCGCAGCACCCTCACCGGTTCTCAGCCACCAGGATCTGCTCCAGCAGGCGCGCGGCCTGCACGCGCGTCTCCAGCTCCGGCGCCTGCAGCAGCCGCAACAGCAGGTCGAGACCGCCGTCCAGGCGGATAGCGTCGCATAGACCCTGGGCGACCTCGCGGCCTACGGCCGGCAGCAGCCAGGCCTCCTCCACTAGCTGGAAAACGTCGGCTAGGCCGGCGCCCACGGCCCGCGTGCCGCCCGCCTGCTTCAGCTCCGACAGTGCCTGCTGCAGGTCCGGTAGCGCACGCTCCAGGGCGCCCTGCACCTCGGTGTTCACCCCGGGAGACACCTCCCGGGGCCCGCGGCTGCCCGCAGCCCACCACGGGCCGGCGCCTCCGCCTCCGTTAGGACCTGTCACCGCTAGCCGCTCGGCGCCCGGCCGTGGGCCAGACATGGCGAAGAAGCGGCACAGCTTGTAAGCGGAGAGGAGCAGCGTCAGGACCATGGGCGCCGGGCCGCGGGGAACATCCCCGGCCTGGAGGGGCGGGGCCGGGCAGGGTGACCCGGACCTTGGGAAAAGGGAGTCCGCGAGAGGGGCCCTAGGTAAGGAGATGGAGGAGGGAAGGATGGATAGAAGGGTACCAGGCAATGGCCCTAACGAGAAGTGTGGGGAAGGGTTGAGGGCAGGATCTGGGACGAAGCGGTTGGAGAAGGGGATGCAGGTCCAGATGTCGGAGGATGGGCGGGTGGAAGGAGCTGGCAGGTGAGGGATGGGCCCAGACGCCGGCGGGCCTAGGAGGCAGCAAGCAGAACAAAGCGCTGCTCCAGCTCGGGCTCTGCTAGCTGAGATTCTCTGCAGCAGCCCCGCCCGTGAGAAGCCGCGGACAGGGAGCGGGGCTCCGCCCCTGCCGCCTGCTCAGCCTTCCCCAGCCGCGCTCACACTCAGGCCAGGCTCACACTAGCCCTCTAGTCGCATCCCCCGCCGCTGGATGCGCGGGAGGGGGTGGGGAAGGACTGCCTCGGTTTTCCCCGTGACGCTAGCATGTGAGGGTGTAAGTCCGGGGAGAGGAAATCCCGGGGCAAAATAAAGTTTAAAACACCGTTGAGTGTGCCCCCTCCCCGCTAGCGGTTAGCTCAATCATAGGAACAATTCTGTACAATTATTGAGGCCCTGTATGCCTGTTTCTCAACTAAGCCTTACAACATGCCTACCACAGAGAGATTGGTGTTCCCATTTAACAGCTGAGCCGACTGAGGCCCAAAGAGATTGCCCAAAATCACACTCCCCTCTAACTATAGAACAGAAAAAGTCAGCTGGAAACTCTGAGGATCACTTCCTCTTGGTGGTGGGAGGACTTAAAGGTGGTCTGTGGCCCCTGACAGTGGGCCTAAAATCAGGCATTCTGTGCCACTGGGCATCTTCTGAGTAAAGGGATCCTACTTTTCATGACAGACTAAAGGTGTGGGGAGCTAGGCCAGTTGTTGCCGTGGGGAGATTGAGGGTGGGGACAGGGAGCATCTGCCCAGGAACAGTGAATTAGCAGAAGACTTAGGAATCAAATCCAGTCCAACAGGTTAATAGTCACCCAATTTACAATACTGTGAAGACCAGCTTGGGGAGACTTAATGCACCAGGAGATGAATCCAGAAAGGAAACTGTGTTTTTGTGATTACAAAAAAAAAAAGATCTCCAGGAGCTTACCAGCATTCTCCCTACCCCACTTACCCTACCCTAAATACACAATGGAGGGTTATCCACCCAGCCAAGGATGTGTCTGATCAAACAGATCATGGATAAATAAGCATTTATGGAAAATGAAGTTGGGGCTACTCCAGGCACTGGACATTTTGTCTTCTTTAGCTCATGTCATTTCACAACACCTGATAAGGCAAGTACTATCAGTCTCATTTTACCAAAAAGAAAACGCAGCTAGGTAAAGCAGTTTCCTCAAGGCAACACGGCCTGTGAATGGCAGAGTGGGCTTGTTTTCTGCCCTCCAGACCCATGTACTATTCCATTTCTGAGATGATCCTGAGCTTGGCAAGGATCCTATTTGCAACTATGCCAGCCCCAGAGTTCCAAGAATGTGACCCTGTGCTGCCACAGCCTCTGGGGTCAGGGCACTGGGGGCCAGGCCAGAGATTGAGCAAACAGAGCAGCAGAAAAGCAACTCCTCTTTCTGGTTCCCTCCCTCCCTGTCTTCACCTTTCCCTCCCTTCCTAAGGCATCAGATCAGAGACCGCAGAGTGCAGAGCCCAGATCTGCCAGGCTGGAGGCTTGGGGCCCTGCCATGGCCTGCGCAAGGACCCTTCTGATGCTGGCCCTGCTGGCCTGGGTTGTTCTGGCTGACCAAGGTGCGGGAGAGTGCTGGTGGGCATTTGGGACAATGCAGGGTGGGGGAAGGCCTGGCCATGCTGACTGCTACTCCCTCCTGCAGAGTCATGCAAGGGACGCTGCACTGAGGGCTTTAATGCTGACCAGAAGTGTCAGTGTGACGAGCTCTGCTCTTACTACCAGAGCTGCTGTGCCGACTACCTTGACGAGTGCAAGCCCCAAGGTGCGTTGAGAGTGGCTGAGGGGGCCTGGGGTCGTCTCTGCAGCTGGAGACTCATAGCCACCCATTCTGCCTGCAGTGACACGTGGGGATGTATTCACTCTGCCAGAAGATGAGTATGGAGTCTATGACTACCACAGCGAGACCAAAGACAGCACCAGTGTCCACCCACAGTCGGAGAGCCCCACCCTGGTTCCTGACCTGCAGGACCCACCTGAAGTCATCTCCCAGCTGGCACCTGTTCTGAGCCTGGGCCCTGGGCAGGGAACCCTAAGGCCTGAGATCCCTGATCAAGGGGTCTCTGAGTTCCCAGGAGGCGAGGAGCTGTGCAGTGGGAAGCCCTTTGATGCCTTCACTGACCTCAAGAATGGTTCCCTCTTTGCCTTCAGAGGTGACTCCAGCAGCAGATATTGGGGGTGGGGGAGGTCTGCCCCAGGAGCATCCTGTCCCTCACACAGCCTCCTCCACTTTAGGGCAGTACTGCTATGAGCTGGATGAAAAGGCAGTGAGGCCTGGGTATCCCAAACTCATCCGAGATGTCTGGGGCATTGATGGTCCTATTGATGCTGCCTTTACCCGCATCAACTGTCAGGGGAAGACCTACCTTTTCAAGGTGCCAGGGGCTGTGGAGCAGGGTGGAGAGTATCTAGGTAGGGTTTGAAAGCTGTTGTGTCCAAGACCAGGGTGTGCAAAAAGGCTGGATCCTGACTTGTGGTCCCTGGCTGAGGCTAAGGACAGGGAAGCCAGAGCTCTAGGTGAGACGCCTGGAATTGGGGCGTGTTGCCTTGGGTGGGGGACTCTACCTTGTGCGTGGCCAGCTGCTTTCTCACCCTTCTCCTCCTTCTCTAACCCTTAGGGTAGTCAGTACTGGCGCTTCGAGGATGGTGTCTTGGAAGCCAGTTACCCCCGCAACATCTCTGATGGTTTCAAGGGCATTCCAGACAACGTGGATGCAGCCCTGGCCCTCCCCGCTCACAGCTACAGTGGCCGCGAGCGGGCCTACTTCTTTAAGGGTACTCAGTGGGTGGGTGGGAGAACGAGCAGGCTGGGAGTAGTCTGTTTTCTTCGGCACTCCACTGGGACAGGCCTTCAATCATGCCCGCCCCTCCTGCCAGGAGCTCCTGACCTCAGCAGCCTCTGGGCTTTTCAACTCTGCTCATGCCCACCCCTCCCCAGGGAAGCAGTACTGGGAGTACGAGTTTCAGCAGCAGCCCAGTCAGGAGGAGTGTGAAGGCAGCTCCCTGTCGGCTGTGTTTGAACACTTTGCCCTGCTGCAGCGGGACAGCTGGGAGGACATCTTTGAACTTCTCTTCTGGGGCAGATCCTCTGGTATGGAGGCAGGGCAAGCCTTGTTTCACCCTCAAGAGGGCTGGGCTCTCCTGGGCAGGAGTAGGGCTGGGCTGGCTGGACAGGGTTGGCTGCAAACCTACGGATCACAAACTGTTTGCTCAGGCCAAACTTTGCTTCTGTTGATCTTTGAGGGGAGACTTGCCTCCACCTGGACCCCACACCTTGGACTTTGTGTAGCCAACCAACGGCACAGCCAACACAGGGAGGAACAGTGACTGAAGCAGCTGGGGAGGGATATGGTGGAAGGAGGCCAGGGGAGAGGATTGAACAGAGTCAGAAAGCAGGGGTGCTGGGCTCTGCCACTAGCTTGCTGTATTCTTGGCAAGGCACAGTCTATCCTTGAGCAGCTGATGAACTCCATAAAGGCCCTGCTGGGGGCAGGGTCCAGGTACTCCATCAATCCCTTCCCTGCCACAGGTGGTGCCAGAGAGCCCCAGTTCATCAGCCAGGACTGGCCTGGTGTGCCCGGGCAAGTGGACGCAGCCATGGCTGGCCACATCTATATCTCAGGCTCAGCTCTGCATTTGTCCTCGGCCAAGAAGCCTAAGTCGAAGCGTCGCAACCGTAAACGTTACCGCTCACGCCGTGGTCGCGGCCGCAGCAAGAACCCCGGCCGGCAATCCCGTTCAGCCTTGCTGTCCTGGTTCTCCAGTGAGGAGGGAGGCCTGGGAACCTACTCTGACAGCTATCAGTTGGACTGGCTTGTGCCGGCCACGTGTGAGCCCATCCAGAGCGTCTACTTCTTCTCAGGAGGTGGGGGCCCCTGGAGCCCCTGCAGTTGGTCTAGCTGGGGTTCTCTCCTGCTGTCCCTGCTCCCCACAGGATGAACACAGCCCTGGAGTGGTGACTTCAGAAAGTCAGGGTGGGGGCCTTGGCTGCATTGTGGATGTTCACTCACCTTTCCAGGAGGGACCTAAGTCTTTCTCAGGGCAGGAGTGGGAAGGGCCAGGCTGGGTCTCACACTCTCTCCCAACCTGTCTTCCAGAGAAGTACTACCGAGTCAACCTTCGCACACGGCAAGTGGACACTGTCAGCCCTCCCTACCCACGCTCCATTGCCCAGTACTGGCTGGGCTGCCCAGCCCCTGGCGGCAAGTAGGAGCCCAGGCCCACACAGCTGGGCCCTCTGCTGCTCCCTGCTCCCATCTCCTCCTCCCAGCCCAATAAAGATCCCTTGGCCCTGAGTTTAAGACCACTGTTCTGACTGGGGTGGACAGGCAGGAGGCAGGGACATGCCTGGGTAAAGGAGGGGAAGCTTGACTCTTAGGATGGCTTGGGGAAGAGGATAAAGGAGAGCCTCCTTGTGTCCAGCCCATGTTGGACTCCAGCCCTCTGTGAACCAGAAAAACTGTTGGCTGAGAAACGCCTTACAAGTGCTAGGCTTCCTCTGGAACTAAGCAGCCCTCAACAACCCATCAGTGGCTAAGCAGGAGCTTGAACCCCTCTGAGGATGACAGGAGTTACCAAGCAGCCCCTCCCAGCCCTGGGCTTGCTTTGCCTCTGGAGTTACAAGGGTCCTGGAGGAGAGAAGGGGCAGAAGGGGTGGGGCTCAGGTTCAGCTTTTCTGCCCATCCTGAGCCTGAAATGTGGCTAGCCCAGACACCTGAGTCCCTAGGGAGCTGTTTACTGTGCTCCCCCAAACCCACTCCTGAGGATGAGACTTTCTTTGAGGTATCTGTCTTGGGTCTGGGGTGCAGGGCACTGAATGTATGAGAGATAGGGAAGGGCAGGAACTCAAAGGAAATTCAAATGTATCTACTTCTCTTAGAAAAGTGGCCCAGGAGACTTTCAAGAATGACTATTGCAAAAACAAACATTTTTCTTTAAAACCCTCAGATGTACCTTTGGAACTCTGGTCCCAGGTTCCTTGACTCCAGGGTAGCCATCTGGTCTCTCGAGGGGCCAAGGGGAAAAGGTTAGGTGCAGACAAAGCCCTAAAGCAGAGGGCAATCTGGTGGTGCCAGCTGCTCCCCAGCCCTGCTGAAGGCGGGTGCGAGTTGGGGGTAAGGGGGGTGGCTCCAGCTCATCTGCTGTCCCTGTAACATCCTGTCCAGGGTCACCAGCCTAGTCTGGAGTTGTGGGATAGGACCCACCCACTCTCCCCTGAGGCAGCCAGCACCAGGCACTGTGGGCTCCAGAGGGGGCAGCTCAATCACCCACTGGGAGCACTGGATCTCTTTGGCTTCCTGCAAAGAGCCCTGGGAGGATTTTCACGAAGTACAGGACGTTAGACAGATTGCCAAAGTCTGTGGTTCAAGGAAGGGATCTGGGACCAGTTTCCTTTGTGAAGCCCTGGAGGCACAGGGGTGACAGATTTTTGCCCAACCCATACCCCCACAAACCCCATCACTGCCCCTTGGCTTCCTCTCTTTTCTCCGGACTTTTCTGCCTCTCCCAGAGCTAGATGGCAAACCCCTCCGTTCCTGGAGGCTGAAACAGCCCTAGGAGCAGGATAAAACCCCAAGAGGAGGGGTCTGGTGTGGGCACAGCCTTGGCATGGCTCTCTGGCTCCTTACCCTCTTCCAGTTCCATGACCAGTCCTGTGGATGCATCTCCAACAGGTGATCTGGTGGGGAAAGGGTGGGCAGGGGGAGAATGTGGGGAAGGTATAATGGGGAAAGGCTGAATGGGGGAAAGAGTATGGGCTTCAGGATCTGCTGGGGGCTTTGAGGCTGGGGTGGAGGCTCTTGCAGGAGTCCTGGCCTGATTCCCAGCCAGGTCTACAGGTCATGCCAGTAGGCTGGGTTCCCACTGGAGAAGATGGATGGACCACCTTCAGCAGAGGGCAGCTGCTGGAGTTGGAGCGTGTTTGCAGCATGGCCCTACCCTGACACTGGCACCCGTGAACACCTGGCCTGGGTCCCCTGCCTTCCTGAGGCCAAGATACAGGTGAGCTGACACCCTAAGGGGTATTCTTGCACAGACAACTTCTGGGCTTGACCCACAGCCCCCTCACTCTGGGTATCCTGCCTCCAGGCTCTGTTTTCTCTATGGCTGGTGGGGAAGGGGTGCTGGAGCCAGAGGAGACTCTTTCTACTTCCCTTACTGTGGTTCCAGAACCCCTGGGCCAAGAGAATCAAGAATAGGAAAGCAGGAGGCGTAAGCACCAGGCCCAGGCCCCCACAGAGATCCCATTCTCTTCCTGAAACCCTCCAGTAGTCCTGGGAGCCCAGCACGCTATGTCAGCTTCCATCCTCCAACAGCGCCCCTCAGTGCGACTTCAGTGTGTCAACATGCTTCCTGTCCAGCTCCTGGCTTGGGTTCAGGGCAGGGCCAGACAGTGGCAAAAGCTGCAGCCCCACAGGGACCAGCTGGGGCTTCAGTGGTCTACCATTCTTCAGAGCAAGCTACTTCCCAGATCTGTCTGACCTCATCTATGCCTCGCCATTGTCACCAACCTGGACCACTCCTATCTAGGCCCAGAACTTGCAAGACCCCTCCTCTGGCTCCTGCAGTCCACCCTGGCCTGTAGGACTGAACATATCAGAAGTGGATTCCCTTCCCCATCCGTTTACACAAGGGAATTCTCTTATGGAAGAAGTGTAGCACAGAGATCCCTCCCTAACACTTCCTCCAGGCCATCTAGATGTGGGTCCTGTGGAGTGACTGGAGCCCACTCCTACTACCCAGCACCCTGCCCCTCCTGGGGCATGTGCCCATGGTCTCAGCAGGAGGTGCCTTCTGGGGGATGAGGTAGGAGGCCATGTTCTCTATCTCTCCTGCCAGGCCTGGTCCCCATCTCTTCCCTCTAAATAATGGGTAGCTGCCCCTCACGTTCAGGCCATTACCTACTAACTGCTAAGTAAACTAGAAGAGGAGAGTGCTGATCTTAGTTCCAGACTACTGGGGACTGACCCTTTTATAATTCAGGGCCTCCTCTCCTGACCTCCTAGCACCTGGGCAAATTAACCAGAACCATGGATCTGCACAGGAAGTGATATTAAAGTAATAAAGTAGAAAGAGGAGCCAGGGTTTACACTGATTCCATTTTCACAAAGATCAGACTGGCTGCTTGTGACCTGAAATGTGGAGACAACCTGACAGATTTAGGATGGGACGGCACAGTGTGTGTGTGGCAGCATTGGGTTTTTTTTTTATCACTGTCATCTGTAATACCATCTCATCTCCAAATAAGGCCCAACACTATACCTTCATCTGGATTGTTATGCACTGCAAATGAATGGGGATGGGGGCCATTTGCTTTTGAAATTTATCTCCATCATCTAATCCCTAAATAGGGCCAGGTTCTGCAGATTCTGGGTGGGAGGTGTTACCCAGGCTTTTGCTGGGATTAGAGGGATGGTTAATTAAAAGGCTTAGGGCTCTGACCCCCTGCTCCTGGTCCCACTGGTTCCAGGACATCCACCTTCTTCCACTTCCGGAGCTGCTCTACTTCAGAGAGACAAGCATGGTGCTTGCCATAGGTTTGCCCTGGATTCGCATTCTGGCTTTACTCCTGAACCTTCAACTCTCTGAAAATCTATGAGCCTGAAAAATGGGAATGGTTAATACTTCTCTCCATTCTGTGAGTGAGAAGCAATAATGTAGGTGAATGGCCTCATGTAGTGCGTGATATGTAAACCTCTCAACACACACCAGTTCTCTCTCCCTCTCCATACAGCAGGCCATGAGAAGCTGAAAGGCCCCACATTTCTTGTTCCTCTGGCCTCCTGTCCAGCATCCCCCTTTCTCCATGGACCTGGCTGCACCAGAGAAAACAGGGTATGCTGAGACGGAGGAAGAGGCTGAGAGCAGAGAGTGGCCTTTTCTGCAATGAGAACAGGGGACAGGACAAACATGTTTAGGAACCCATATAAAACAGCCTAAATCAGGCTTATGTATAACAATATGTTATACACATTCATAGTACACGTTACATATACATATTTTAAGTGTATTTTCATTCATATTCATATATCTAGTTATACATGTAGTTAAACCTGAAACACTCCTTGTCTACAAAGAACTTCTACCTTACTTAGTCGAGACAATCCACAGCAGGCATACTCTCCCAACCAACAACAACAAGCACAAGGGGTTTTGCAATTAAAAGCAGACATACTGTTTACCCTCTGAATTATTTTCATTTTTGAAGGCAGAACAAAGAGTGATGGGAATGTGGGAAATTTAAGGAGGATGGTGAGTGGTGGATAGGCAGAAGCATATAAAAAATCTGGAAAAGGCAAGCAGAAGGCAGACGATGGAGACAGGAACTAAGACTCCAAGAAGGCAGCTGCCCTGTTTCCAGCTGCACCGTCATGTACCAACCTGGGTTTCTCTAATTTGATGTCCTCTAATCAGCTCCTCTTCCTGCACCAACTGGACAAAGAGAACCCTTTCTCCTTTCTTGTAGGCTTCTGATCCAAATAATAGGTCTGCATCAAGAATGACTATTGATTTGTGCAGTTGGGCAAATTCAAGGCAGTATGGTCTGCTTCTGGGAAGGCCTGGATGCTAAATCTTGATGGGAAAAAACCCAGCCTCAGCAGTGCCCAGATGGCCTGGAGAGGGCAGATGGGCATTGGGTGCAGGAGAAGGTACTGACAGACTATTTTTTTCAGTTGTTGCCTGAGTCTCCTTTACTGGCCCCTCTGGAAATTGACAGAGGATGGGACTCCCTGCAGGCACAGCAGGCAGCCCTGGCTCAGCCCTCCTAACTGGAGCTAAGCACAAAGAGCCTGATGAGTTGACTGAGTGACTGACAGCTGGAAGCCTGGAGTCTTCCAAAATCCCCTCCAGACTTTGATGATGAAGGATCAGTTACAGCTCTCCCAGCTCGCCTTCCATGGCCCGCACCATGACATACAGCTCAGCCAGACCCACCACAGAGGCCACAATCAGTGCAGCCAGGACCCGCTGGGGAGAGAACGGGCTTAGGAGATGCAGGCAAGCATGCAGTTCTGCAGCCTCCAGCACCTCTAACAAGGATGGAGAGGGCTTAACCTAGCTTGTAAGTGGATGGGGAAGGGAAGAAAAGAGGATCTGCATTCCCTTGAGGTTATCATTTCCCCCCATTACTGTCAAACAGCTAAAATGTTCCTCTCATTTAACTGCATAAATATTTGTTCAATGTGCAAGGTGTTTTCACATACATCCTCCCTTCCCAACACTCCCACCTGGGGCACCTTACCCAGCCCAGTGCTTACTCACCGGGGCCATTTCTGTGAAGATATACTGGCTTCCAAGGTAAGTGCAGACAAAGGTGGCTGCCACCGTGACAATGAAGTTGAAGATGGTGATGACCAGAGCCTTCACTGACCTCACTTTGGGGAGGAGCCCAGGGAAGAAAACTCTAGGTCAGCATGCTCCAAGAGACCCTCCATCACATGGCTGTCTCCCCCACCAATTGGGTTTCCCTCAAACAGCAAGCCTTAAACTCAGGGCACTGGGGTGGGAAGGAATGCCATGACCAACCCCTCCCAGGGACAGGCTTTAGCAGCTTCATTTCCTAGTACCTCACCTTGCTTTCCCAAGTCACTGAGAGTCCCACCATGCCTTGAATCCTGGGACAAAGCAAAAGCAAATGATTTCAGAATGGAAGCAGCTCAGAGGCAGCCCAAAGAGTTATCCATTTGTCAGTGTGGGCTTAGCCCTCCTTATTCCCCAACATAGTAACTCTGCTTTCTCCATGGATGCTTTTGTCTGGGACCTGTCAGAGACTTTTCTGGGTCACAGATGAAGCAACTCAGATGAAGGACATAGGATAGGCTCCTCATACCTACCTACCTGTTTCCTGCTGCAGGGCAGGAGCATGACAGAGAACAACAGGGAGCCTTATCAGAAGGAAGGCTCCAAGACTCATCCCCACTGCTACAATTTTTAAGAACCAGTCACCATCTGGGCCCAGAGTCTCAGTGAATGAGTTGGGAATTGTATTTGGTTTGAATGTAGTATGGAGCTTCTGTGGTCCCTGAATAGTACTCAGACCAAATTTCCATGTTGCTTCTTCCCTCTGTACCTCTTCCAAGTGCAGGGCCCTGCTTTCAGGGGCTATTCGGTCCATGTATTGAAGAGCAAGCCCTTACCTGACAGGTGACATTTTGGGTGATCCGCTTATATTCCTCATTGGCGAGTTGTATCTTAATCTTCTCCAGACGGGCCACTAACTCTGGGTTCTGAGGCAGAAAAATCAATTGAGAATGGTCGCCCCAGCTTGCTAGAAAGCATGTCACAATCATTGGTTTCAGGGAGCAAAGCACTGCTAAGGGTGCCAGGAGAGCTGTGTACAGTTCTATGTTCACTGCTGTTTTTTTTGGATCTCAGTTTTCCAAGCTGTCAAACAGGGACGACAATATCTAGTTTCCCCACTCCAGCTATGAAGGAATTAAAAGCCAAATTTCTGAACCCAAAAACTGATAGATTTGAACATAATCATAAACAGCCCAACTCAGCCAGCACCCAACTCTCACAAATACATCCCTTACATACCCGGGGAGGCTTCACAACCTCTGGGAGGTAGATTTCACTGCCTTCTAGGAGCTCATGAAGGTATAGTGTGGAATCTGGGAAGAAAAGATTCCATAAACAGAATGGTGCATAGAACTAAGGCTGAAGAATTAAGATCAGAGAAGGGTCTACCCGTTGGAGTCTTTCTACTAAAATAAAACGTGGCCATTCCTATATCAATAAATCTCCAGGATCATTATCAACTGGGAAGAATCTAGGGCAATTCCACATAAGTATTTCCTAGTGCCACACTGAAGACTTCGCTCTCAAGTATCCTGCCAATGTCACAGCTAACTCATAAGCCATTTATATTTGTCTTCAGGTTATGTGTGGCCACAGAATTGTCCTTCAAGTCATAGTGATGCTGAATACTCAAGAGGACACTGTACTAGATGATCTCTAAGGTCCTTTTTAGTTCCAATAATTGAGCTGTCTACACTTTGCACTTCTGAATAGACTATGTTAATTCTGGCAAAGTCCTTAAATACCATTTGTCCTATCCCCTACCTTTACAGTTAAGGGAATTGAGGCCCAAAAAAGAGAAATGACTCCTCCAAGGGGAGTTAGTGGCTGAGCTAGAACGAGGTTATCAGATGCTACAACTAGTTCAGATCTTTATTCTATCTCAAAAAAATGAAAAAGGTATAAAATTTGACCTCTCCTGCTTTTGAGATGGAAAGAAATTCATATTTCCTAACAGAAAAAGCTCACTCTGCTAAGTTGTTTTCAAAAATGGCTTAGAAGGAAGAAACTGAACCTCTGCAGTGGTTATTACGTTAGAACTTGGGTCTTCCTCAATTGGGTGGGCCTACGTGGGCCTGGAAGTGAAGAGGAAATTCTCAAGAGGGCAGAAACTGCACAGGTAAATTTTGTCATCCTCATAGCATTCTCTTGAAAGTTGTGAAAGGACTGGGTTGCCTTAGGGTTTTTGAAGTGACACTTGGGTTGGCTAGATGACCATTCCGCAGGCGAATGGAGTGATGGACTTCTTCCCTCAGAAAGATGTTAGAGGTGGGAAAAAGACCTCAGAAGGGCACAGACTCTGGAAAACAGGAGGCGACTCCGGACTGGAGACTGGGGCTCACCCCTTTCCCTCAGGTACTGGTGCAGATCCCGAATCAGGCGAAAGGAAACCAGGTGCGCAGGGCCACTGGGACGACCACCGCCCTTGTGTTTCTTCCCCAGCGCGGCCTCAAGCTCAGCCCGCAGGTTGCGGGGCAGTTGCTCTGGCTCCAGCTCCCCGCCGGCGTCCAGAGCGCGAAGCAGCCGCTCGCCAGCTACCAAGAAAGACGCCATGCCCAACTTACTCTACAGTCAGGTGACCCCGACCGGGACTTCCGCCCGCCGAACGCCGGAAGGAGGCGGGAGCTCGCGGGCGGAGAGAGGCGGGGCCGAGGGCCAAGGGGGCGGGATGCAGCGCGGGGCAGTGTGGGGCGGGGGCGGAACCCGCGCGCCACGGGTCGGGCCCTGTGTCAGTAGCCGAGCGGGCGCTCGGGCGGGACATGGCGGTCTGTGCCGCCCGGCGGGCACTGGCCGTGGGAAGCCGCTGGTGGTCCCGGTCGCTGACCGGGGCCCGGGGATCGAGGCCGCTCTGTGTAGCGGGTGTTGCTGGGGCTTTCCCACCAGCGGCGACCGCGACGACGCGGAGGCACCTCTCGTCCCGGTGAGGGACGGAGCTCGGGGCCCGGGCCCAGAGCCCAGGGAGCGTGTTCCCGGCCAGCGAGCGGGGCCAGGAGGCCGGGTCGGCTGAGGGTGATCGGGGCTCGACCCGGGAGAGGGTCCCGGCCTGGAGCCGACCCGCGCTGTCTGGGACGTGTGCCAGGAGCAGAGAAGGGAGGGCGGCCCAGAGTCCTGGGTTGTGCAACGCTGGCCCTGATGGGGAGCTAGTAACCCTCCTGGAGCGAATCCTGCCTCCCCGAATGGGGGTCTCCGAGCGCCGCAGTTCGTGGGCAGACTTTTAATTAAGTCTTTTTAACTTGAACCCCCAGCCCCCGATTGGGTTAAGGTCTTTCTCAGAAAGATGCTCGAAGTAGGAAACAGAACTCTTTGAGTCTGGGCTCTGCGTGGGTCCCAGGTTCCAGTGTGACCTTGGGAGACTCGTTCTCTCTTTGTGGCTTGGAGAAGGGGGCCTTAGGCCATGGGGGTGGGTGTGAACATTGTCTCTAGGGATGGGACAAGCAGATGAAATTGTGGCCGGCGATAAGTAGGAGGAAGCATAACATCTACATTTCCAAAATAGTAAGAATAACATTGCTTTGAAGAGCCTCTAGAAAGAGCAGTCCTGTCCAGAGAGGTCACAGAGAGAACTGACCCTTTCGTGGCTGAGATGAAGACACTGATAGGGGAGGGAGAGAATAACTGCAATTTAAGAACCTTGTGAAATTGATGTAAATCTGAACAAAAACTAGATTGAGAGACCACTAGGTGCAGTGCAGGGAGTTCAGTAGGAAGTCTAGAGATGATTAAGCCCTTCAAGAGCAGGCAGGGTGAAGACTACAGGTTAGAGAGGGAGACGTACGTAGAATTATATAGCCCAGAACAAATATATTTTGAGCATCTCTTATAATCTAGGCTCTGAGTGGGAACACAGGCCAATCAGACACAGGCATTGCCCCCAGGGAACTTAAGTCTCTAATGGAGGTAAGACATGGACACAACTGAAATATGAAGTGGGAGGGACAGTTAAATGCTATGGGAAGCCTGGAGGGTGGATCAGGGAAGAAATGGAGGCAAGGGGTACAAGTAAGCAGGGTATGAGGGCATGACGAAGAATGCTGTGAGTGAAGAGAATGATCTGGGAGCAGTCAGACCTAACAAGCCTGTGGCTGGACCTCAAAGGAGGAAAGGCAGAATCTGTGCAGTGGTCCTACTTCAGCGGGTCCACTGCCCAGCCCCTACCCTGCTGTCATTGCCCTGGCCCCTCAGTCTCCTAGTGGCTTTTTCTGATAGGTAGGTACTTTCTCAACTTCTCAGTTGCTTGTTCTTTTCCTTCATAACCAGAAATCGACCAGAGGGCAAAGTTTTGGAGACAGTGGGTGTGTTTGAGGTGCCAAAACAGAATGGAAAATACGAGACTGGGCAGGTGAGTGCTGGGATGGGTCATCTTTCGTTTTCATGAAAGGGTCAGATTTGGTCCCAGGCCTGAATGTTACAGTTTTCTGCCTTGGTGTTTGGTGCCAGACAAGAATCACAATTTTTAAGGATGGGATTTATGTTTTCCCGGATTTGAATGCATTCCATGTGCCAGTGAGTTTCTCCTTCCAAGTTAGTGTGGACAGAGATGGTTTGAACCATCATGAGGAGAGAGCCAAGCTGCTGAGGAGTCCTCTTACACTGTGGGTGATGGGAAGTCAGTGGAGGGAGCTTTCAGAAAAGCAAATTTTTGATGCTGCTCCCTCATAATTGAACTGGTGGCATGGTAGGAAGTTCTGGGTGTGAGGCTCTTTCTCTGTTTCAGCTTTGTGCCAGATCCACTGAAATAGATTGTAAATAAGGAGGACTTTTTTTTAAATTCTCAACTTTTTTTTTGGTATGCCTACATTGGGACAGGCATTGTATATTGGAATTAAATTTGAAAACAGTCCTTCACTGAGCTGACAGTCTATATTACATGCAGATGGTCAGTGGCTGCATATGCGCCAAGTGGAGGGGAGGCCTAAGCTATGGCCTAAAGGATGAGAAGTCAGCCAGATGAAGGGGGAACAAGAGTGTTGTTGGTTGATGTGGGTGGATCACAGTTCGAGGGAAAGATTGGCAAGACCTTGTGCTGGCGTTGCCGCTCCCCGTGCTGCTCAGTGGTCTGGGCCCCACCCAGGTGGGCTTGCTGGACTGGAGACTCACAGAGGCCCCTTTTCCCTCCCAGCTTTTCCTTCATAGCATTTTTGGCTACCGAGGTGTCGTCCTGTTTCCCTGGCAAGCCAGACTGTATGACCGGGATGTGGCTTCTGCAGCTCCAGAAAAGTAAGTTTTCTTGTCACTTTGCCTCATAGTACTCTCAGGAGGAGGCCTGACTCATGGTAAACGTATGTAACTGGGGCCCCTGGGGCGAAGGCAGCCTCCTTCCCAGCCATAGGAACAGCACGTAGTACTCCCCTGGCACCAGTACCCACAGAGACCAGGTGCTGAGTGCTGGGGACAGTCTGAAGCCAGAGAGAGGGTCCCTTAGGCTCCTCTAGGATGCTCTCCTAAGCTGTTTTCAGTTCGCATCGTAAGTACCCCAGAAGGAATTGAGTGTCTAGTCTTGCTTTCTTAATGTTTATACAGAATCTTACTGTCACTAGAGTGTCACTGAAGAAAGGCTTGGTTCTAGTATATCACAGAGAAGGCACATAGTGGATCTGTGGCATCTTGCTGCACTCATGGACACTGACTGCATTGGGGTATGGGTGGGGACTGGGTAATATGGGTGAATGTAGTAACCACATTGTTTTTTCATGTGAAACCTTCGTAAGAGTGTGTATCAATCATACCTTAATAAAAAATTAAAAAAAAAAAAAAAAAGAAAGGCTTGGTTCTGCTGAATGATCACATACAGCCCCCTTGGCTGTGAAAAGATTGGGGTACTGGGCTCCAGGGACTAAAGCAGCAATTTGATTTTATCAACATGGCCCCCTTCCTCCAAGATGCAGCCAGAGAGTGATACAGATGATGACTCTGTGCGGGGGATCCTCCATGTACCTCCACATTTGCCCCTGACTGGGGAGCAGCTGGGCTGGGGTGTTGCTGAGCAGGTACCAGCCAGTGCTGCAGTCCCTTCCGACTGGGAACCAGTCTGTTGAGATGAGGGGGTCATAGGGAGCTGGAGCAGGCACTGCTTATGTTTCTCTTTGGGTGACCTTGGGCTGCTTCTCCCACCCTGTAGAGCTGAAAGTCCTGCTGGCCATGGGTCTAAGGAGGTGAAAGGCAAAACGCACACTTACTATCAGGTGCTGATTGATGCCCGAGACTGTCCACATATAGTAAGTAAGCAGTATGGCTGGGCCTGGGTTACTCTTCATGGGAAAGGCCTGAACCCTGATTGGGATAAAGGGAGGCAGAGGGGTCAATCAGCCCAGCTCAGCACTGGGCCCCAAGTCCTCGGGACTGGATAGTGGCTGAGAAAGTCACTGGCTCACTTCTTGCCTTAGTCTCAGAGGTCTCAGACAGAAGCTGTGACTTTCTTGGCTAACCATGATGACAGCCGGGCCCTCTATGCCATCCCTGGTGAGTAGAGCATCTGAATAGTGCCTGTCAGTGAGGGGTCTGGTGCGTGTTAGGGAGGGGACTCTGATGCCTTTCTGAGCCTGGAGGGGTTAAAGATGCTGGGAGCAGTGGTGCCAGGGTTGTCTCACCCTGGGACGAGGCCAGGAATTGTGTTTCTCTCAGCCCTGTTCCTCCACGTCCAGGTGAGTTTCACTGCCTGTTTGCTTCTCTCTGTCAGGCCTGGACTATGTTAGCCATGAAGACATCCTCCCCTACACCTCCACTGATCAGGTGCCCATCCAGCATGAGCTCTTTGAAAGATTTCTTCTGTATGATCAGACAAAAGGTAATCTCTCAAGAAGGGAAGCTGGAATGGGAGGGCCTCTTCTTCAAAGACAGTATCATAGAGTTAATTTCAAAGCTCTATTTCCACAGCCCTATTCAGCCTCCCATTGGCCCTGTCAGATAGATAGATGGTTGTCTCCACCTAAACAGATGTGGAAACTGGGGCTCAGGAATGATGAGAAGGGATTCAGAGTCGCTAGTTAGTGGCAGAACAAGGTCTGAAAACAAGGGCTCCCAACTCCCAGTCCAGTTCTCTTCCCTTGTGTCACTTAACTCTTCAAGGCTTATACTTGGTAAGCAGCCCTGTGCCCTCTTCTGCCTGTGCTTTTGCTTCCTGTTTGGGCCTCTTGTTTATCTGAACCATTGCTGGGAAGAGTTTTCTAGGAGGGGCAGTTAGAGAGTGGGTGTGGCACCCTGGACTCAGGCCAGGACTGAGCAGTTGTCTCTTGCCCCAGCACCCCCTTTTGTGGCTCGGGAGACGCTCCGGGCCTGGCAGGAGAAGAACCACCCCTGGCTGGAGCTCTCTGATGTTCACCGGGAAACGACCGAGAGCATCCGTGTCACCGTCATCCCCTTCTACATGGGCATGAGGGTATGTGCCCAGCTGGGTCCCTTTCCTCAGGGCTAGGCCCCCACGGTTTGTGTGGTATCCCTGGTGTGATGGCTACAGTGGGTTCCAAATTTAACCCGTGTGTCTGAGGTTCTGCTTCCAAGTGCTTTCAAAGCAGCCTCTTTGCCATGCTGACACCCTGACCTAGAACAGGGAAACCTGTGGTTCCCAGGAAGGAGTCCTCCAGGTTGACTTTTCCTTACTCTCTTCTGGCTCAAAGGGACTCAGTCATGTTTGTGAAGAATATACACATCCATGTTTAAATCACTTTAGGCTGATCTTCACACTTCTTATGCATTCGTCAGACATTTATTGAGCTATTTGTTGCCTGGCTATAAACTACAAATAAAAGTGAGACACTGTTCCTGCATTGCAGGAGCTCCTGGTAGTCGGGGAGGCCAAAACAGGCAGAAGAGGGCACAGGGCTGCCTACCAAGTACTGTAATATGGCTGGGCTGTGGGCGGGCTGAGGAGGAGGGCAGCAGCCTGGGCCAGCTGCAAGGAGGCTGGGTGCAGCAGCTGGCTGGGAGCCTGGTGAGGAAAGGAAGGGCCCTGTTGCTGATTTCTGTGGACTTCTAGCACTCTTGGCGATCTTGGTAGGATGAGGAGAGAGGCCAGGGGTAGACCCAGGAAAGGTGCCTCCCTGTGGGCTTGTTAGCCGTAGACGAGTCACCATCATCCCACAGATATTTGCAGCATTTCTCTGTCTCTGTACCCTTCCTGGAGTACATCTATTCCATCAGAGAGATGCTGATTAGAAATAGACTTCATCTTGCCCTCTGGGACTTCAGTTCTTTGTGTTTTTCCCCCAGGAAGCCCAGAATTCCCACGTCTACTGGGTGAGTGTTTCCCTCACAGAAGAGGGAGGGGGCTCAGGAGGTGTCCCTGGGAGGCAGGTTGGGAGATGGCAGAGTTTTCCTCTGGTAGGGGTTGCTGTTCAACACATGTATCAGCCTTTTTTGCCCTTTGCCCTTTAGAATTCTGGGCAGGCTAGCCCAAGGTCTCTTCCTTTTCAGATGTGACCTCTCTTCTCCATCCCTACAGTGGCGCTACTGTATCCGCTTGGAGAACCTTGACAGTGATGTGGTGCAGCTCCGGGAACGACACTGGAGGATATTCAGTCTCTCTGGCACCTTGGAGACAGTGCGAGGACGAGGGGTGGTGGGCAGGGTGAGTGTCACTGGGCCAAGAACAGCAGTTCTGGCCCTGCCTAGCAGGCCTGCGGGCTTAGTGCATGGCTTCCTCCTCCTCTGGTTAGGGGCAGAGACTCAGTGTGTGACTGCGTTGGGCTATTTGGGGTGAGAAACCTTACAACCATGTGAGATAGGTTTCTTATAGCCCACTTTCCAGATGAAGAGCATCAACTAACTAGCCCGTGGTCCCATAGCTAGTAATGGCAGGACCTGGGTTTGAATCCAGGTGAGTCTGACATCACAGCTTGTGTAGTTATTGCCAGCACAGTGCCTTTTTAGAAAATCTGAATTTGAATGCCCTTGGGTGGGGTATGCACTCCCCACCACTCCTTGTTGTCTTTGCTTTGCCTCTCTACATGCATACATCCTTTGTTGGTCCATGAAGAGATGTGATTTTGCGATTCCTGCACTATCCCACCCTGCCTCCTGAGAAATAGTCGTGAGAAGTAGCCGCATTTAGTAAGCACTTCCCTGAGTCAGAAGGGACTTGGGGAAGCAGGGTGGGATAGTGAGTAAACACAAGGTTTTTGGAGCCAGGCAGTCTGGGGTCAGACATAAGCCGTGTGTGTTTATGGGGAGTTGTTAACCCAACCCTAGCATAACTTTGGGCAGGTTATTTTACCAAATCTAGGTTTCTTATTATGAAAGTGGGGATCATACCTATTACCCTGTGATTGCTAGGAGTCTTGAGTCAGCTAAGGTCTGCTGAGCACCACCATGGTGCCTGGCACTTGGGCCCTGAGTGTCGATGCTGGAGACAGGATTTACAGAGCAGGTCCTGTGCAGAGCATCTTCTGGTCTAAGATCATTTTCCCCAGAAGCAGAATAAAACCAGAGGTCAGTGGCTGTGCTGCGGGGGGAGGTACTGGCAGGCAGTCATTGTGGGAGGCATGGGGGCACCCACTCCTGATGGACTGGCAGGCAGACATGGCCCTGGAGTACAGGGGACTTGTCTGGCCTGACCGATTTTGCTTTAACCTTCACAGGAACCAGTGTTATCCAAGGAGCAGCCTGCTTTCCAGTACAGCAGCCACGTCTCCCTGCAAGCCTCCAGTGGACACATGTGGTGAGCAAGTGTGTGCCAGGGCAGGGGTAGCTCAACTCCACAGACACAGGCTGCAGGTCAGAAAAATGAGAGTTGGTAGCTTGTAATTAACTCTCGGCCAAGTCCTGAGATGGAGTCTTACTGGCTGTTCATCATTGTGTGGGACTTACTAGGACTGCCTGTTTTCCAGTGCCCTGTGATTTTGTGAACTGAGGTCTTAGGCCAAAGAGGTCTGGTGATTTGCCCATGTAGTTAGTTTTTTTAACTGACGTTTTACTCCTTAACCTGAAAGTGTAGATGGGTAGCTTATGCAGTGGGCACCTAAGGGCCAGAAATCAGGACAGCGGCTTCTTCTTTTCATGTAGGGCCAGGATGGGCTCGTGGGTCTCTGGACTATAGCACCCTTGCATGAGCCAGGGGGAAGAGAGCCCAGCCCTGGCCTGCCTCATCCTGCTGCGGGTGAGAGCTGAGCGCACAGGGCTATCCAGATCCTCAGGAGGGCGGGGCCCCCACTCCCGCTAAACTGTCTTCTCTGACATGCAGGGGTACGTTCCGCTTCGAGAGGCCTGATGGTTCCCACTTTGATGTCCGGATCCCTCCCTTCTCCCTGGAGAGCAATAAAGATGAGAAGACACCGCCTTCAGGCCTTCACTGGTAGACCAGCTGAGGCCCTGAGTGCCAGGCTCAGTTCCTGAAGAACACCTCTCATCCCACAATTGCTGCGGAACTCTCTCTCCACCACTGACCATAGTGGGTCTCTTACTTGTTTGTGCCATTTAATTGTGGGGTTCTGTTTTGGTGGATAGGGTGCAACTGCTTTCTCCAGAAGACTCGTGTAGGACTCCTCCCAGGCTGGCTTCCCCCATAAGCCCTGGCTACACTGTGTTCCAGTAAACCTTCCACCAGAAACGCTCTATGTTCAACTGCACAGGCCTGGAAGTTTCCTGGCTGGTCACACAAGTTGTTTGGAATGTGAGGTTTTGTCAGTAAACCAGTGCACACTTGGCCACCCTCACCATTTCTGCCCCTACGGTTTCAGGTCCCCTTTTGACCCACTGGGGGCCCTTGATTGCTTCTCTTGCTACCCTTCCAGAAGCTGTCCCTTTTATAAGGGTATGTATGTTTCCCTCCTGTGGCTGGGAGCTGGCTAGACATCTCCTAGGGTCACTGTGCCTCTCAGCCAGTGGGGTGGAGCTGGACTGGGCTCTTAATCTCTTTACTTCTGCCAAGTGCAGAACAGGAGGCTGGTGTCAGCATTAGGGGAGTGGCCTGGCTCTTAGCCCTGGCCCTCCACTGGGGGCATCTCTACCCTCCATGGGCCTGGGAGAGGAGTGAGGCACGCTAGTCAGGTTTCCCAGAGCAGAGGGCTTGCCAGCCATGAGCATGAGTCTGTTAAGTCTCCAGACCACAAATGCCTAAGCTCAGCCAAGGAGCTTTAGGTATGGATAGTGACTAAGTCAAGCTACTTTCTGAGCTTCCTGCAGAACTCCAAGAGCCAGAGATGAATGTGCTGCATTTTGCCCCAATTCTTGAGATTCTCGCTCTCCCACTACTACAGTGATTGTTAAGGTCATTTTATTCTTGAATTAATTAAATCTGTTCTATCCCTTATCAGCGTTGTCCTTAATCCTCCACCAGGGGGAGCCTGGGTTGCAGGGCAACTGCGTGCAGTTGGATTTAGGCTTGAATACAAAGTCAGGTGGTAAATAGAAATGCAAGAACCCTGTCCACAGCAGCAAGCTGACCCAGCTGTACTAACTATAAGTACGACTCTGCACCGCTATAGTGTCATACAATTTTATTAGAAATTAGTGTTTGTTTCCATCACCTGTGCTGAACAATAAGGAGCTGCAGTTCTTGATAAAGGCAAAGTTCTCTCATGCCATGGCCAGTGCCATACTGCAGACAGACTGTGCGTGGTCAGGTAACACTGATTAGAACGCAACCCATGTTAACAGTCACAGTTAACATGTTGTTAACAACACTGTCCATGTGGTTAACAGCAGATTCCCAGTTTCCTCAGCAACTGCCAAGGTTTGAACTTCATCCACGCTTTTTGTCTGCCTTCCCATGCTCGGAGTTGAAAAAGTCACACAGCCAAGAACTGCTTCCTGGAAGGGGTTAGGAAACTCAAAATGCCCCAACCCCTTACACCACGAATTCTTACTAAAGAAGCTAAGATTACTTCAGGGAGTTCAATGTTAGTACTTAAGACCAAGGAGACATTTTCAATCAGAGGAGATAAATGCCCAGAGTCCCAGATGTTGTGCTTTCTCAAGAAAGATTGGTCACCACTGAGACACTGAGGATCTGAATGTCAAAGCAGTAAAGACAGACTACAGAGAAAGTCAAAGGACAAACATTAAAATACCTCCATGGGGAGCTGGGACTGAGGAAGGGCAGCTGAGGAAGTAAGCCAGTGGCTTTAGGCAGGAGCATTCCAGTCCCTGTGGGAAAGCCACAAAGCCAAGGCCGGAATCTGGCCAAAGAAACTGATCCGCCATCCTGTTACTCCGGTGAGAGCTAGAACTGTTCAAGCTGATCACCAGGGCGCCTCACTTTTAAAGTCAACATTCAAGGCTGCAACAAGTGTAAAATGCCTGATGAGTCACATTTCTCCTGCCCCATCCTGTCACTTCAGGTCCTTGCATACGAACCCTGGCCTGGCATCTGCCCAGGAGTCACCATGAGCAACCACTATCTGTAGTAAGAGTAGCCAAGGGAAATGAACTTGATAACCTATGTCCCTTCCCCAATGAGTGGGCACTGCTAATGGCTATGTGTTGTTAGGCTGGCTGAACAGCGCCTTCTCTGATGGTACTCTTTTGGGAAAGAATTCAGATAAGCAGACTTCCAAGGGCCAAGCCAAACAGGGGAATGAGAACAAAAGCCTTGAAGAGAAGCTTACACCCTTGTCAAAGAACAGGTGCTTGGCATTTCCATGTCCAAGTTATTCAACAAGAAAGAAAGAAAACCCTTCAAGGGGCTGCTCATGTCATCCTGTGTTCAGGGACTCCCCTTCAAGGGGCTGCTCATGTCATCCTGTGTTCAGGGACTCACCACTGAGCAGAATCACCCCCCACCCCCAAGCCAGGCCACTTAACCACAGCATGGGTAGGGGAGAGAGGATGTACGGCCAAGCACACACCATGTCTGCTCAGGCTGCTGGGACTGCAGGCTCTGTGTTCTCTGTCCTTGGCTGATGGGCACGCAAGTGCAGTGCCCATGGGCTCCACAGCCTTGCTGCTGTGGCTCATCTGGACTCGCATGATTCCTGACCCCCCTATAATGGCTCTCTAGCTTTACAGCAAGCAGGGGCAGCTTGCCTTGGAACTGAGGGCAAGATGGTCAAAAGGTGCAACTTATGTTAGACTCTAGGAGTCAGCACTGTGACTCTAAGATATTGGGGTGCAATGTCCCTTCTCATAGGATTGTTATTAGGACCTCAGGTCCCAACTTACAAAACTGCCTTTCCTCAGTGCGCTCTAGGCTGGCTGCTTGGCCAGGCTGGCAAAGCCAAAGCTGGTCACTTGTCTTCTATTGCTTCTATCTCCCCTCCCTCAGACTGATTCTGCAGGGAAGAAGGGGGTAAGGGTCAAAAAGATGTGGGTCAGGGCAGAATACAAATCTGAACAAAAGTACAAAGTGCTTTAAAGAAACAGATCCCAAAGGCATCAAAAAAGGGCCAAGGGTTCTTCCAGACCCAGGGTCTTAGCACCCTGGAAGGGAAGCAGAAGTACCCAGTCCCCTCATTATTACTTAAAACTATGCATTTCCTAGATGATTTTTAAAAAAAACTCATCAAGCCTGTGCTTAAATACCTTAGGAAAAAAGGAGCCCCACCTTGTTAGAAACTGGGCCTCCACAGCACCAGAAGCTGCCTTCCCCACAGAACGAACCCATTCCCTAGCTGAGCCCTACAGTAGCCCTTCAACAGAGGAAAGAGCTGCTCAGCCCTGGCCAAGGGCAATGTTCTCAGTGGGAGAGGGGCAGGCTGATCCACACTCCAGGGGCAGAGGCAGCTCCCTGTCAGGCAGGCAGGGAGCTGCTGAGCCAAGGGGCGAGGACTTGGACATCCCACAGTGCTCACGGAGCAGGGCAAGGGAATGTGGGCCCTTTCCTGCTCAGGCCCTCTGAAGCCTCATGCGGGCCCTGTCAAGCCTCTGGGTGCTGGAGCAGAGACTCAGCCAGTAGCAGTGTGGGGTGGCCAGTGGAGGGGGTGTCTACAGGAGGGGAGGCAGGGTGTCCTGTGCCCTGACTCCCAGAGGGTCTTGTCAGTCGCGATGGGCAGACTGGTGGCTGAGCTGCCGGTCGTCGTAAGTACTGTAGCGCTTGACGTGGATGCGGCGGACACGGTCCCTCAATTCAAAGGTCTCCTCATCTTCACTGGGGGACGCCTGGCTGTGGCTCCGGCTTGTGGCCTCCAATAAGGAGTTGTCAGGGACTCGGGGGGTCTCATAGAGTAGGACGTTCAGCGTCTCCTCATAGATTCGGGCCTCTGGGAATTCCACCTGGGGTGAGGGGGACAGGAGAACTGAATGAGTCTCATCTTGGAGAGAACAGCATTCCAGGCCCAGGGCCGCGCTGGATCCCCAAGGCTGCCCGAACTCTCTCGGGGAAACATGCCCCATCCGGCCTCAGACCAACTGGCTCGTCTGCTTGGAGGTTAGGGGGTCGGCTTTGGGGCCAGGCCTAGGTACACATCCAGTTCCACCACTCACTAGCTCTAGGGTCTTGGGTTTAACCCTGCTGCGCCTCAGTTTCCACATGTGTAAAATCATTGTTAACATCTACTTTAGGGAGTTGCTGTGAGCACAGCATGGAAGGGTTGGCATTCTAGCCTAAACTGCTGTGTCACCTTGAGCTTCTATTCGCTCATCTATCAGCTGGGAGAGCGACTCTAGCCCTGCCTGTCTCACGGGGGTGGTGTGAGGAGTCAGAGTTCATGAGCAAAGCACTTGGGAAGGTGAGCAGTGCTGCTGTACTCCCACAGCGTGACCAGCCCCGAAACCTGACCCCATGACGTGTGCACATGGGTGCCCCACCCCCAACATGACAGGAGAAAGCAGGGCCCCCTCCTGTAAGCTGTCCTTCCCTGACCCTCAGACCACCCAGCTGGAGGCACTTTAGTGGTCTGGGGGCGAGAAGGTGCTACATGAGCTTGGCTCTTACACAGGCACACAGCTCTCGCCCTCCCACCATGAGCTGCCCTTTGGTCTTTGTGCCATCTCCCTAACACAACTCATGGGGGCAACTGCCCACCAGGGAGGATGCCAACTGCCTGCAGCCTGAGAGACCAGGGTTAGCTGAGTTTGTGTTAACTACCACCTGTCACATCCCTCACATGTGCCAGGTGCTGTGTGTCTCTGGCAGAGGCTGTGCTGGCTGACCAGGAATACCCCACCTTCAGGGGCCAGAGAACAGCTCTGAACAGCTATTTCCACTACACTGCTCCTCTTAAGAATGTCTCATTTTCATAAAAGCTGTTAAATTCATACTGTCATTCCCATGTCTGTAAATGAGGAAATAAGCCCAGATGGCTTAAATGGCTTATTCAAAGTCAGAAAACTGATAAATGGTGGAACCAGAATTCAAATGTGAATTGGGCTAACTCCAAAGACCTGGTCCCTTGCACTGCACCAGACTGTTTCCTGCAGTCAACAGCCCCCTACCTCTTTCAGCTGGCTGGAACTAATAGTTCCCATGCCATTCCCTGAGCCCCTGCTATTGGCTTTTGTTCCCACCCAGCACCATCACAGTGAGTCAGGGAAAGAAATAGCAAAGCATATGTCTTTCCACTCCTGGGGAAAGGCTCCATCGGGGTAGCACTAGTGCGTCCTGCCTTGCCCCCTGATGCAGAGGGAAGCCCCCCATACCTTGGTCTGCTTCTTCTCCGTGGCATACACAATGGAGGTGCAGCACACCTCTGCCAGTTTCCGACCCTGGCCATAAAAGGACCAACAGCAGATCTCATCGCCGATGACATCCTTGATGAAGAGCACACGGCCATTGAAGCGCAGGGAGAGCTTGTCAAACAGCTCGATGTTTTTCAGCAGGTGGTCGTCGGAGTTGCTGGAAAACCAATGAGGGCCAGCAGGCCTGGGAATAAGTTCCAGACTAAGCGGGCGCTGGCTGGGCTCTCCCCTCTCTCCCTCCCCTGTCATGATGATGAGGAGAAGTCAAGATGCCAGAGGCACAGGAAGAGAAAAGGTCAAGGGTTTGGAGGCCTGTGAGGAAAAGGAGTTGAGTTAAAGCAGTGAGAAGGGACAGAGGGAGGTCCTCTCAGGCCTGGAAGGAAGGAGGCTCACTGTCTCTCAGCAGGAGGATCCCTCCTCTTGCTAGGCGTGATGCTGCTAACATGTCTGTCCAGAGAGTCACTGGGAGGGTTTGGGACCCTGAGCCTGTAGCCTCCTGCATATACCTAACTGTGGCCTTTTGAGAGGACTGGGGGTTAGGGGCAAGGGGGAAACTGGCTGCTGTGAAGTACAAAACCTGGCTTAGGAGTCCCAGCCCATTGCCCTCCCTCCCAGTGAGTGCTGGGAAACCACCTGGCATGCTGCCTGACATGACACGTTAGGGGGGTGTCACATGTTTGGTTCTGTCTATACCCCAGCCAGCATCCTGCACCAAGTTCCAGAGGCCTCTGCTTGGATTTCCCTTCTGCTCTGTTCTTCCCTCCGGAGACCCAGACCCATGCCAAGCACGCCAGGAGAGCAGGTGGCTTCCCTTGAGTCTGCTGCCTAATTCCTGGCAGCTTGGTCCTTTCAGCTGCTCCTGCAGCCATTCCCCTGGCCCCCGGCCCCCGCCAGGATGCCCACCTCACCTGGTGTACGAGTACTTGTTGTTGCTCCTATTGTACAGCAGCTTCACCACAGGCTGTGAGGGAGGAGAGCGTGAGGGCCAGGCCAGGGTCCTGACAAGCCCTGCCCGGAGCCCTCTGAGGTCCTGGTACCTTGGTGGAGGACTCAATGAGCCTTTCCTCCTCCTTCACAGATGTGATGACGGGGATGTTGCACACAGGCTGGTAGGAATCCTTTTTGTCCTGGGTGATACACATAGCCAGGAATCTTTTTGAGGTCTGCTTGCCAGGCTTCCCCAGGAGCCGTCAGAGTCCCTCTGCCACAGCCACCCCTACTTGTTGAGGAGGTATCAGCGATCAGGAGGTTCCGGGCAACAGGAACTGCCATCTGGCAGGCAGACCCCCATTTCCAGAAAACCTAAAAGTCCAGATATCTAGGCACATAAACTGGAAGCAGGGCCTCGTGATTCTGCCCGAGTCTGTCACCTTACAAACTGACTGGCTGCTAGCTTGCTCGGCCTGGGCAGCACCTGGCATGTCTAACTAGGTGTGGATCTGTTCCTGGAAGGTTGCCACACAGCCTTCCTGGAACTGGATCTTTATGCCCCTGAAGGAGAGGGTCAACTTCTGACCTCACTGACCTGCCCCAACGCTGCCTCCATACCTGCAGAGCAGTCTGGCACATGTTCACCAGGCCCTGAATGAGGTAATATTTCGCTTCAGCCATCAATTCCTTGATTTCCTGCCGGTTTTGAGGGAGGATGATTGTGTCATCTCGGAGGTAATTCAAAATGGTGCCAAAGTGCTTTCCGCATCGGTCTATGAGGATCCAGCCTAGGATTCAGATGAGCCCGAGAGGGTTACTGTTGGTCTCCAGGTACCTCAGAATCAGGCAGCAGACAAAGGCCACCTGACATGCCTGATGGCAGGTGGTAAGGAGCACATGAGCAGAGGCCACAGCACAGGGGAGCGGAACCCCCAGCTCTCAGGTCCGTGACTGCTCTTTATCCCTTCTCCCGGAAACCAAGAATTAGAACATAGCAGGGGACACAAGCCCTCCAGACTCTGCGGCGGCCCAGAGGTCTAAGCTCAGTGGTGCTCAGGCCCATCTCCTGGCAACACAGAGACCACCAGGCCCTTTCTGTTCACTGCTGGATTGTTAACTGAGGGTTAATGTGAGAATCTACTCTTATATGAATATTAAACGAGTATGGATCTTGTCCCTGGAAGATGTGTAAACACACATCCTATGTACAATTTCAAAAATTCTTTAGCTCTACTGAGGAGCCACAGCTCCAGGTGAGGGTGTCTTGTACCAGGTGAACAGAAAAGTCAATCTAGGTTCTAGATATGCCAGGCTTACACCCTGCCCTGAAGTCACTCTCAGGAATTCTTCTCTCTCTCCTCACCCCACCCAACAAGCCCCCATGCCTCACCTTCTCTGTCAGTCAGCACCTCCATGCGTCCGCTGAACATGGCCTTGAGCATTGTGTCATGCCGGGTTAGCGCCCGCACGGTGGTGTAGTACAGGGAACCACCCACATTGAGCTGGACGTATTTGTTACCCAGGCCTCCTCCCTTGCAGCCACTCAGCTTAGGCTTGACCCCTGAGGCTGGGCACAGACAGGTATCCCCTGACATCTCCCGCTGCAGGTAGATCACCACACGGCAGGAGGTCGGCTTGGAAGGCTCCGCCGTGGTGGAAGGGTCACGAGTGAGTGGCCAGTGGAGGCCAGAGCCTCATACTCTCAGCGCTGTGAGCAGGAGGTGGGAGAGAAGGCAGGCGTTAGCAGAGGAGCGCCCTCAGCCAGGCAGGGACAGGAGGAGAAACACTGATGATGTATTCTCTCCTTGATAAGCCCAAGACTCCTTCGCCGAGGCCAAGGAACCGAGGCAATGGCAAAAAAAGACATTCCTGCTATTCTTTATGGTACCAGGAAGCAGCCAGGGAGCACCATCTCCCAGACCCTGGTGCTGGTCACCTCACCAGTCCCTGAGGCTCAGCTCAGTTTTGTGGAGCAAGGACAAGCAAACCCTTGTATCTACTTAGAGTGGCTTGAGGAACAGACTGAGCAGAGCAGAGGTTCTCACCCCAGCAATCCACCAGTCACATTCCAGTTATTTTCTTTCCAAGATTCCCAGCCAAACCTACTGGGAATACAGCCAGCCTAGGAGTTTCCCAGGAGGGACAGGCTGCAGTTCCTTTGTACAGATTCCAGGCTCAGGAGCAGCCTGCACCAGTGCTTACGTTGACCACCACCCAGAGTCTGGCTTCAGGAAAGCAAGTTAAAGCAGCTTCAGGAGGAGCATGGAATGCGCCAGGGAGGGAAAGCTGGCCAGCATTTCTGGCAGAGGTTATCCTGGCTCCAGCCGGGGTTCCTGACCTTCCCCTTTCCTGGTACCAGCCCTGTCCCAAGTTCCTGAAATTGTCACCATTTTCCAGGCTAGGACAACTACAGGATGGCTATTTTTGTTTCTTTTTCCTGAGAGGGGCCCCAGCCCAATCTCTTCCTGTCTTCCCTCCCAACAAGAATGAGAAGAAACGGCTAGAAAAGACCAGATAATAAATCTAAAAACAGGTAAGTGATTTGGAAACTGAAACACTAATAGGAGTTCATAGGGAGGAGTGAGGAAAGAAAGCAAAGGAGGGCAAAGCCAGATCACTCCTCGTGATCTAGAATCTCTATTATACATGTTGGTTTTCTAAAGAATCACCAAAATTCATTCACTGAAGAAAAAAAAAAAGCAAACATTCATTGTATGTTTACTCTGTTCCTGGTACTATTCTAGGCACTATGTATTAGCTCATTTAATTCATTCAGCAATAAAACAATATTGAGTGTCTTTTATGTTAAGCATTAGATATAGAGAGATGAAAAGATATTATCCTTGCCTTCAAGGAGTTCAAAGAAGCATCGTTATGTTAACAAGGATAAAAATAGTAAGAGTTCACATTTGGTGTGCCTCTGCCATATGACAGGTACTGGGGATACAAAAGAACACAAGTCATGGCCTCATGTAGCTTCCATTCTAGTGGGAGGATGCAGGTAACAAAGGAGAAAATGAATAAATAAGCAGGCAGTTCCAGGAGCAGAGAAATGCAATAAAGATAACAGTAATAAAAGAGTGACTAGGAGAGGCACTAATCTAAATAATCCAGGGAAAGCCTCTCTGGGAAGGTGACATTCCAGACAGATGGAAGAGTAAGTATAAAGTTCTTTAGTTAGACACAAGTATTAGGAACAGAAATAAGGCCTAGATGCTTGGTGCATAGAAAGGATGGAGAAGTTGGCTTGACGTAAAGTCAGGGAAGGCAGGGGCCGGATCATGATAAAGTTTGGATTGTATACTCATTTCAGTGGTAACTGACTGGATGGTTTGAAGCAGGAGAGTGACATGATTTCTCTACATTTTGAAAAGATCATCCTGGCTGCTGTGTACAGAATGGATTATAAGGGTGCAAAACAGCAAGTGGGAAGACCAGAGGAAGCAGAAGTCTTGGCTTAAACAGATGATGAAGGTTTGGACTACAGTGTTGGTAACAGAGACAGAAACAAGTGAAATTACCTCATTAAATCACTGCAACTTGCAGAAGTTTTCAGTTGCCCATCATCTCTTGTAAAAGTGCAGCCCAGAAGCAAGGCACTGGTTTTCCCAAGTTTACTGCCCCACTCTCCAAATACTGCCTAGCACAATGCCATGCACATTTTAAAGTACTTCGTGTATATATATATATAGTTTATTAGACTGAAATTGTCCCTGAAAATATTTAGGTATGTCCCTAAGAAGAATGTCCAAGGAAAGGCCAGATCAGGTGCTGCGTGAACTACTGAATTCCTTTGGTGACTTGGCCGGGAGACTCCTTCCCGGCAAGGATGGAATATGGATGAAATGAACCCTCACCAGACTGCCCGATCAGTAACTAATACTTGAATAGTATGAGATCACTTTGCCTTCTTCCGCCCACCCCAAAGGAATAAATCCACCCCTTAGCAAGTTCCCGGTATATTTTACGTCTAGTCCCAATTTCTCAGGATCAAAGAAAGCACATATAGATACTATGCCGAAGTACTGGAAATCAAAAGCAAGGCGGTAGCCAACAGAGGAATACAAATTCAGAGCTGATCCATCATTTCCTACAAACCAATTGCTTTCAGCCCTTGGATGACGTCAGTTCAGATTCCGCCCGCTCAGATTCTACCCAGACCAATGGGCTCCAGGAATCTGGTGGCAGGTGACGCCCCATAAAGTAATTCCAGTGAGAATGAAGTTTCCACCGGTAGCCTCAGCACTCTTCCTTCCGGACTTTGTGTGGGGCTATTTGGGGGATGCCTGGGGCAGGGGCGTATCCGTGTCTCACTCGGAGAAGCTAATGGGAACCCAAGCGCAATAAAGAACAAATAATCACAGCGGCAGAAGAAGTTGGGATCCTAAAGGAAGAAAGTCCCAGAAATTTGTCACAGACGGGGGAAAGGAGGGTAGAAAAAGGGCGGATCTAGCAGAAATCTTAGGTGTAAATCTTCGGCTTCATCCAAAGGGTCTGGGGCCAACCTCTCTGTGGCCAGTGTAAAGTCTTCCCCAGCCCGCACCCCTCCTCACAACCGGGAAACCCAAGTCCTGACACCCCCGTTCCCTCCTGGAGACTCTGAGCTCTCCACCTTCCCTACGCTGTCCTACGCCTTTTCCTCAGGACTAGGTGAGGCTCTCTTTGCTCCAGCCCGGGTCCCTCCATCCCTTCCCCGTGGGCATCAGCAGCCCCGGCTCTCACCGTCCCGGGGGCCGCCTCTCCTCTCCGCTGGGTCTCAAGCCGACACCTGCGGTCGCCTTGCCGGCCAGCAATCGCAGCCTGTGAGCTCACATCCTTTGCCCGTAGACTCCACCCCGAGCCGCGGCCCACCCTCGTCAGTCCCGGTAGCCTGAGACTAAAAGACCGGGCACGCCCAGCACCCAATCAGGGGAGAGGGAGGAGCCCGTGAGAATATTTCGCCCTGAACGCACAGCTACTTCCGAGAGCCTTTCCGGCGCAAAGGCCTCTGGGCCTTGTAGGCATCCACCCTTCCTCTCAGGCCTCTGTTTCCCAGCCCACTCTGCGGCTGGGGCGGCTCTAAGTGCTTCCCGTGTCAGATACTGACGCTATGGATAAACAGGTCCTGTAGCCGTGGCAGCGGCTGAAGCTGGCTTACGAGTCCCCGGCTGTCGCTGACCGGAGAGTGAAGCTGTTCGCAGATATCAGTTTGGGCCGCGGCGCGGCGCCGCTACGGGTTGGCAGGTAGGCAGTGAATCCCGGTCCAGGGACGCGGGCGGACCTGGGGCGAGATCAATCTAACAGGCCCCCGCCCTGAGGAAAGGGAGTCCCAGGCCGAAAAAAACGTGGGAATTCCGCTCCATTCCTTGGGAGCGGTTTTACACCTAACTTGGGCCTGAAGCTTTACTCTGCAACGCTCTTCTCAGGAAACTGCGTCTCAGATAAGTTCAAGGAGTTTACACATTGAAGACTGCCATCTCCATCACCCAGGTCTTCCTAACTTTCTGCCCAAGCACCCTTCCCCACACCCCATGAATGGAGCCTGCTCGTAGTGCCTGGCGTGGATCTGAGAGAGCCAGGGGGCGGAGACAGTGTCGCCGCCCTCATCTTCAGGGAGCTCGGTCTGGATCTTGTGCCCGGTGTTCCTCAGATAACCACACACGCTTTGTGTTAGGAGTTGGGAGACAATCTGATGGTCAGCCGTGAACCCTCTTCCTACATTCCTCCTGTCTTACCGATCTCACTCAGCTATCCTTTCCTACCCTACCGCTGGCACAAGCCAGATACCTGGGAATCTTGCCTGACTCTTTCCTTCATTCATCCCCAAACCCCTACATTCAGTCAGTCCTTTACTAAGTCCTATCAACTCGATTTACACTTTTCTAGAAACTCCAAGCCTTGGTTACTGTAATAGCCTCCTCTGTTTTCACAGTCATTCATTCCATAAACATTTACTGAGTGCAGATTCTCAGTCTGTGCAGGCACCGTGCTAGATGCTGCTTGTACAGTGATGAACAAGATAGGTGTAGCCTCACTCTCTTGTTCCCTCCAATTCCAATTAATCTTGAGTAGGAGTGACTCTAAAAGGCAAATCTGATTATACCACTCTGCTGAGAATCCACTGGCTGCCCATTACCCTTGTGGTAAAATCCGAGTTCATTACTCCAGCTTTTAGGACCTCCATGATCCAGTTCTAGCCTCTCCATTAGATTCATCCTGTACCACCTCCCCCTTGTTCACGGCTTCAACCACACCATAGCCATTCAGTTCTCCGAATGCATTAAATTTCTTATAGCCTCAGGATCACACATACTTTTCCTTCTGTCTGGAATGCCCCCTGCACTTGACAAGTGTTTGAACATATTGTAGGTCTCAGCTTGAATGTCACTTTTTTAGAAATCTTTTTTTGCTCCTCCCAATGAATTACATCCTCCTGCTGAAGCTTCACATAGCACCATGTGCTTTCCTCATACTGTTACCACAGTTTGTGATTATTTAACTCCATGTCCAGAAGTCAGGAACTAAAGCATTAAAGCATTTTCTTCACTACTGTAATGTCCAGAGTGGGGACTCAGTAGATGTTTTTGAATAAGTGCATGCTCTGAAGGAAGGGAGTGGAAATTGAAGCAGATGTTTGCTCCCTCAGGTTGCCTGAAGGTTTCTAGAGCAACTGGTTTGATTAATTACCTGGTAGGTATTAAATGCTCAGACTACATGTTTAAGTATAACAGAACAAGCGGGAAGACAGATTTTCTAAAAAGCCAGAGTATAAGGAAGCTCTGGATGATTAAAATATTTTAAAAGGAATATGCTAGCCTACCTGAGTGGATTCCAGTGAGGCCAAAGGCTCTGGGCCACAGTCATACAGACAGCCTAGAGACATGTGTATTAGTTGGCTGACACAGTATCGGATGTGTTTTTTTCCTTACTTAAAATTTTTCAAATAGATGTTTCTTTAAAAATCAGATTTCATGTATAAATCTGGATTTCTGGTCCTTTTGAAAAGAAGTTCTGGCAACCATGGGACTTGTTTCTCTTTTTCCTTTGCTTTCTTTTTTTTAGCAGTTATCATCAGTCAAGGGTGATAGATTAAGGCCATCATTGTTAACTATTTCCTTTTTAACTATTGCTCCTCCTGTGGTCCACCTGCTTTGGGCAGGCACTCCCAGGATCACCCCAGTCAGAACATGACTTCTCTGGGAAGGCTGGGAGGGGAGCAGGGGAGGCTGGGGGAGGTGGGAGCAGGGGGAACGTGGCAGCCTGTGGGACACCTGGAGCTTTGGAATTGTTATGTGCCAGTGGTTAGACCTAAGCGGCAATGCCTCCCTTTTCAGACAAGGCATGTGCTCTCTGTTTTTCACTTTTTGTTTTGCTTTGAGGCAGAGTGAGGGTACTTTCAGCATTTCCTTCCTAGAACTGAGGCATAATTTGGGCCAGGAATGCAAGGTGGCTGGGGAGGGGAGATCTCTCTGCTGGTTCTCTTGCTCACAGAAAAAAATCCAGACTCCTTAGCTTGGCACACAGGTCTTCCTGATCTGTCTGTATCCAACCTTTCCAACTCCATCCTCTGTCCTTCCATTTTCTAGGCAGGATAGGCCCTTTCAGTGACTGCAGGCTGTTGTCCAGGCTGTTTTCTCAGCGTGGAATGTCCTTCCATGGCCTCCTTACTTGGTACGTTCTTGCCGATACTTCATTCCTTTTCATATTTTCTGCTAGAAAGAGACTGACCAGCTTTGGGTCCCCACCCAGGCAAGTGAGCAGTACCCGTGGCATACATTTTCAGTAATAGTCTCACTTCTGGCTTATTTTTTAACCCTAATTTTTAATTCTCTGAGATTTCCTCTTCTACTTGGATTTTGTGTTATTCCTATACTGTATTTGAAAGCTTTTCATGTCCTTTTGGGTCCATAATGGGATAGTAAATGTGCGTATGGCTCACAACTTAGTTCAAATGTCTTCCTTCACCCCAAGTAACCGCTCTGTTCTCCAGTGCTGTGGTGGTGTTTCTGTGAAAGTGTACTTTTTCAGTTTACATGTCTGTCTTCCTCCAGCTGAACTATGTGCTCCTCCAGGCGGACACCATGTCGCCTTCATCTCTGTACCCCCAGCATCTAGCAGTGTTGGCATTTGGTAGGCACTCAAGAAATGTGTGTTGAATGAACGATGCCTGTGACAAGCAACTGGACTTTATTCTTTCCTGACCCTTGCTCCTATGACACATCTCCTTTTGGCTGCCACTGTCACCCCTTCAGAGCAGAACTTGTCTAGGGAAGCCGGAAGGGAAACAGGTGAGGTCCAGAGAGGTGGATGCAGAGGGTAGGGGTGCCTTTGGAAGTTGGCATCGGTATCTGGGGGCAGGAACGAGGCTGGGTTGGAAGCAGGCATTTACTTGGGTGGCTGGGATGTGATCAGGGATTGGGGCTGGTTTCTTTGCAGCTATGGCCAAGGACATCCTGGGTGAAGCAGGGCTGCACTTCGATGAGCTGAACAAGCTGCGGGTGTTGGACCCAGAGGTTACCCAGCAGACCATAGAGCTCAAGGAAGAGTGCAAGGACTTTGTGGACAGTGAGTGTCATTCGGGAAGGTGTGGTGCCACAGCTTTGAGCTGTTCCGCCTGCGCCCCACCCCCACCCCGCCTGCGGCTCCCTGGGGTTGAGCCCTGCCTTCATGAAATCCCATGCGCACTCGACTTGTCTACCTGTCCTTGTCTTGGGCTCTCAGGTAGTCCCACATGGCACTGATCAAAACAAACACTGGAATGGGGAGAGGAGGGTGTTACTAAATATGCCACGTTTGATTTGTGTTTTGTTCTCAGAAACCTTAAACTTTATCAGGGCAGAACTGTTGCTGGGGGATGGGAAACAGAGTTGTGTACTCATGATTTGAGTTCTTGGAAGAAATACTGTTCTCAATGGCAGGCTTGCCATTAATTGGAGTGAAAGTTGATTAACTGAAGTCCATAGAAGCAGGTCAACAGACTCAATAAAGTCATTTTTAAACTAGATGTCCAGGATGCCTCCTGCCCCAGCAGTGAAGTGAACGCAGAGCAGGTCTAGCTCGAGAGTTTTTGAGATTCCTGAGCCTTCTGGGCATTCCATAGGCTACAGAGAGAGCTTGACTGGTGAAGGGGAGCGTGAATTCTGTCGCCGGTCATCTGATGGCTCTCATATTGCCCTACCTCTCTGAGTCTTAGCACCTCAGTAAAATAAGGTTCCATCACACCCAAGGACATTGAAAAAAGCATTATGGGAGATTAGGCATTTAAATGCTTTGAGCTCTTTAGTAGCTTTGATCACAGGTGGAAAGCCCTTCCCTGCTATTAACTGTAATCCAGTGTCCTATCTGTGGCTAGTCAAGAGGCAGCATCCTATCCTAAGGCAGCTCTTTCAACAAACACAGCCTTTTGTGCCTCCTGTAACTTTTGGGAAACCAGGATGGGGTCCATTCAGAAGACAGGCCCACCAGCCTTTGTCATCTGAGGTAACAGCAACTTGCTGGCTTAGTGGGGATGTCTTCCTGATCTGTCTGTATCCAACCTTTCCAACTCCATCCTCTGTCCTTCCATTTTCTAGGCAGGATAGGCCCTTTCAGTGACTGCAGGCTGTTGTCCAGGCTGTTTTCTCAGCGTGGAATGTCCTTCCATGGCCTCCTTACTTGGTACGTTCTTGCCGATACTTCATTCCTTTTCATATTTTCTGCTAGAAAGAGACTGACCAGCTTTGGGTCCCCACCCAGGCAAGTGAGCAGTACCCGTGGCATACATTTTCAGTAATAGTCTCACTTCTGGCTTATTTTTTAACCCTAATTTTTAATTCTCTGAGATTTCCTCTTCTACTTGGATTTTGTGTTATTCCTATACTGTATTTGAAAGCTTTTCATGTCCTTTTGGGTCCATAATGGGATAGTAAATGTGCGTATGGCTCACAACTTAGTTCAAATGTCTTCCTTCACCCCAAGTAACCGCTCTGTTCTCCAGTGCTGTGGTGGTGTTTCTGTGAAAGTGTACTTTTTCAGTTTACATGTCTGTCTTCCTCCAGCTGAACTATGTGCTCCTCCAGGCGGACACCATGTCGCCTTCATCTCTGTACCCCCAGCATCTAGCAGTGTTGGCATTTGGTAGGCACTCAAGAAATGTGTGTTGAATGAACGATGCCTGTGACAAGCAACTGGACTTTATTCTTTCCTGACCCTTGCTCCTATGACACATCTCCTTTTGGCTGCCACTGTCACCCCTTCAGAGCAGAACTTGTCTAGGGAAGCCGGAAGGGAAACAGGTGAGGTCCAGAGAGGTGGATGCAGAGGGTAGGGGTGCCTTTGGAAGTTGGCATCGGTATCTGGGGGCAGGAACGAGGCTGGGTTGGAAGCAGGCATTTACTTGGGTGGCTGGGATGTGATCAGGGATTGGGGCTGGTTTCTTTGCAGCTATGGCCAAGGACATCCTGGGTGAAGCAGGGCTGCACTTCGATGAGCTGAACAAGCTGCGGGTGTTGGACCCAGAGGTTACCCAGCAGACCATAGAGCTCAAGGAAGAGTGCAAGGACTTTGTGGACAGTGAGTGTCATTCGGGAAGGTGTGGTGCCACAGCTTTGAGCTGTTCCGCCTGCGCCCCACCCCCACCCCGCCTGCGGCTCCCTGGGGTTGAGCCCTGCCTTCATGAAATCCCATGCGCACTCGACTTGTCTACCTGTCCTTGTCTTGGGCTCTCAGGTAGTCCCACATGGCACTGATCAAAACAAACACTGGAATGGGGAGAGGAGGGTGTTACTAAATATGCCACGTTTGATTTGTGTTTTGTTCTCAGAAACCTTAAACTTTATCAGGGCAGAACTGTTGCTGGGGGATGGGAAACAGAGTTGTGTACTCATGATTTGAGTTCTTGGAAGAAATACTGTTCTCAATGGCAGGCTTGCCATTAATTGGAGTGAAAGTTGATTAACTGAAGTCCATAGAAGCAGGTCAACAGACTCAATAAAGTCATTTTTAAACTAGATGTCCAGGATGCCTCCTGCCCCAGCAGTGAAGTGAACGCAGAGCAGGTCTAGCTCGAGAGTTTTTGAGATTCCTGAGCCTTCTGGGCATTCCATAGGCTACAGAGAGAGCTTGACTGGTGAAGGGGAGCGTGAATTCTGTCGCCGGTCATCTGATGGCTCTCATATTGCCCTACCTCTCTGAGTCTTAGCACCTCAGTAAAATAAGGTTCCATCACACCCAAGGACATTGAAAAAAGCATTATGGGAGATTAGGCATTTAAATGCTTTGAGCTCTTTAGTAGCTTTGATCACAGGTGGAAAGCCCTTCCCTGCTATTAACTGTAATCCAGTGTCCTATCTGTGGCTAGTCAAGAGGCAGCATCCTATCCTAAGGCAGCTCTTTCAACAAACACAGCCTTTTGTGCCTCCTGTAACTTTTGGGAAACCAGGATGGGGTCCATTCAGAAGACAGGCCCACCAGCCTTTGTCATCTGAGGTAACAGCAACTTGCTGGCTTAGTGGGGACTCAAGGTCCAAGTGTGCCCCGGTCCAGCTCTGGGTATCTGGCCACCCTTCTCGGTTCAGACCAGGGATAGCAGACTCCAGGTCAGCAGGCACCAAACTGTGTTGATTCCAACTGGAAGGGGTAGTTAGCCTTGCGCATTTGCTGCAGGGAACTCAGGGAGTGATGATGCTGAGAAAATAAGACATTTTATTTTTTGTTCTTTCCCCAAAAGAAATTGGCCAGTTTCAGAAAATAGTTGGTGGTTTAATTGAGCTTGTTGACCAACTTGCAAAAGAAGCAGAAAATGAGAAGATGAAGGTAAGAATAGCATGTCTTCTCTCTTGACCTTGGCCTGGCACCCTGGTTCACTAGCCCCTCACCCTTCTACCCTCTTGGCTTTTTCTTTTCTTTTGCTGGGGGAATTTGTCTAATTAAAACATGATCCTAAAGAACAATTCCTGGCCCAGCTAACCTACCATTGAACTCTTACATGCCACTACACTCATTATTTCCTTTAATCTTCACATCATTGTGTAGATAGGTGATTTTATCCTCATTTTATGAAGAAATGACAATGTACAGAGTGTAGATGACTTGGCAAAGGATACAAGGCTAAGTGGTGCCCAGATGTGCCACCAAATGCCCATGTGCCAGGCTCTGGGGATACTCCTAGATCTACCTCAGAGCTTCAGGTGTCTTGTCAGGTGCTAATCCTTCTGACTTATTCCTGAAGCTCTCAGGCCTGACTTTCTTTTCCCTGCTGGGCACTGAGTAGTACCCAAGTGGCCCTTTACACTTAAGTGAGGACTTAATGCTGAAAACATTTATAATGAAGCCATGGCCTTCCTTGGCATTGCTGTTTTCCTAGGCCATTGGTGCTCGGAACTTGCTCAAATCTATAGCAAAGCAGAGAGAGGCCCAACAGCAGCAACTCCAAGCCCTAATAGCAGAAAAGAAAATGCAGCTTGAAAGGTAAGAAGTTATGATGGAAAGCCAAGTTCTTTTCTCAGCTGCAATTCTATTTTTCCTTCTTGAGTGGTCACCTTTTGTCCTTCATCATCATTGTCCTCCCAGGAATAGCGTCTCACTTGTCATCCTGATTTGAAGATTTTGAAAATAAAGTTACATTTGATGGGAAGGAAATAGAAAATTTGTTAGTATCAAACCACCTCTAGTAGTCTTGGGAGCATGAAAGCTCAGGCAGTGAGTGTCCACAAAGCTGGCTGCTCCTCTGAAAGGAGAAGGTCCCCTCCAGGCTGGAGGCTCTCATGGGCGCCCCGAGGCAGTGCTCTGCCTCTTACTTTTTTCTCCTTCTTGCCCTAATGTTATTCTGAACTCACATCATTTCTTGGAATCATTGAAATCACCTATATTCTTCTCTAGAAGAATTAAGTCCATGGTTTATTTCGTCCATTTTTAGGGCTTCTAACAATTTTGTTTTTCAGGTATCGGGTTGAATATGAAGCTTTGTGTAAAGTAGAAGCAGAACAAAATGAATTTATTGACCAATTTATTTTTCAGAAATGAACTGAAAATTTCATTTTTTAGCAGAAGGGCACCCCCACCCCAAAAACACAAAACAAAACTCAAAAAACCTCTGAACCATCCCATTGACTTGTCTGTTGACCCAAGTGTGTCACTTGAGATGGTATGTAAGGAATGCAGCACCTCTGAGGGCACTAAAACATCTTGGGGAGCTTGTTTCAGAAATGAGTGCCTGTCTGCTGGCGAACACCCAGCGATCACCAAGGTCCAGGTTCTCACCTCTTACGGTCTTAGCCTGAACTGAGCAGTCTATGAACTTTGATCCTTTTTCTTATGTAAATTCACAAAGCTTTGAAAGGAAAAGCAATAAATTATTGTTTTTAAGTGTCCTGATCTCTTTTCCTGGTGCCCTTGAAATGTATGTTTAACCCCTTGTAAGAGAACCCTGGGCTCTTTAGCCCTTAGTCCACAAAAGAAACCAGGCAGTGGTCAGCAGCTACCTTTATTTGGATCAGACACACAAGTTAGATGGTACTCCCAACCATCAGACCATTATAGCTTGTGAGCAAAACAGGCAAAAAGAGGAAACTGGGACCAGTTTCTACCATTTTTCATGTGTGTTCACAATTTTTTTTTAGTTAGTCCTAAGTACAAATTTAGAGAAAGCTAATGGAACACCCGGTACTAAAGTGAAGAGACCCTCTATGCACATCAGACGTGTCATGCCTGGCCACCCCCCGCCACTTCAGTTGAGAACAAGCCAGGAAGAAGGAATGATGAAACAATTAGGAAGGGTGAAGTCATCCAGGAGGAAGCACACTTCCAGATCAGGCTGGAGACACCAGGCCTCAGAGTAAAGGGACTATGTTAAGAGGGTCTGTAGGAATGTAGACAACTAAGGTTTGGAAAAGATAAACAAGAAGACTTAAAAACATCTCTTTTCTTGGGATGACCTGTTTAAGATGGAAACAAAACACCTTCCCTCTTAACCCTTTTCTGACTGGAAGTCATGCTAGGGCTGAATCTTAAAAAAAACTAAGTTTAAGCCTCTTGCACATTTTCTGGTTTTTCCTTCAGAGGTTGGGGGCAAGAAAACATGATAATTTTTAATGAATATTAAGGACGCATAATTTCACACTTAAAAACGGCCTGCAATATCCCACTATGCACTTTGTGCCTAGTGATGTACTGCAGGGAATCATGACCAAGGGCTTCATTGCATGTATGTAGTGGGTCATGTGACAGTGAACACGCCAAGCAGGCTGTTTCCTGGAAGTTTATCGTTTCTATTCTGTCCTGCTCTTAGTAATCCTGTAGCAGAGCCTGGGGTTACAGTGAGGTATTTGGCACTTCCCTGTGCCCTGGCCCACCCACTGTCCCTCTTCAGGTGACTGGTCGCAGGTGTCCTTGCAAGGTGAGGGTCTGATGAGGCTCCTGCCAGTCTTGCTCTTATGTTGCTGCTGGTGTGTTTCAAATGCTACTGAAGAAATAGGTTCTGAGCAGTTTTCCTTGTACTGAGTCCAGTAGGAAACTCCCCTGTGGGCATCTCTCCCCTGGGACAGTGGCTGTTTCTTTCATTTTTTCTTTCTTTTCTCTTCATACTTATAGTAGGGACTCCGCAACATGAAAAGTAGAAGCAGAAGAGGGATGAGAAGGAAGGGGGCATAGACAGATACGAGGGTTATTCGTTCCTGGAAAGTCTGAGGTCCTTGTCCTTTGAAGCCACTGGCTTTGGAGAAATCCTCAAATAGAAATGTGAAGAGAATTGGAATTACAGTTGTCATGGCATGAACTGAGTAGACGATTGCAGGGGTGCGGATCCACTTGCAGCCTCCTAAGGTCACCAGGGACGAGAGAGAGAAGCGTTAGGTCTGTTCAAGACTGGGGATGCCCACAACATGCTCCACCCTGCCTCTGCCTGCTCCCTTCAGCTGAATCAGTCTCCATCCAAGTGGAAAACCAGGTGTGTTAGAATACTGCCTAGTGTGCAAACTTATGTGACACCTGGGGCCCTAGCACACTGACTGCCGAAGAGCCAAGGTTGGGAGCTGGAATTTCATTTAGAAAAACTCTAGGTCAGTAAAATGGCCATTATCAGTTAAAAACCTGTTTGGGCTAAAATGCAAGAGGGTGCGTGGGGGCTGCCAGCGGCATTATATATAGGTGAGAAGATCAGCAGATTCTGCCAAGAGGCAGTGGTCAGCAGCTACCTTTATTTGGATCAGACACACAAGTTAGATGGTACTCCCAACAATCAGACCATTATAGCTTGTGAGCAAAACAGGCAAAAAGAGGAAACTGGGATCAGTTTCTACCATTTTTCATGTGTGTTCACAATTTCCACTGGGGGGCTCCAGTGGGAAATAAGCTGTACAGGCTTGCTTTACCATGTACACGGATGCAGCCGCCTCCTCTATACAAGCATTAGTGTACAGGGACACTATAAGAATGACTTGTAAATGAGAAGTCAAATCTTTATTCATGCTACTGCTTATAAGCCAGCATGGTACTACCCAAAGCTAAATAAAAGCCAGTGATAAACAAGAATTCTAAGTGTGTGTGTATTGAAGGAGGGAGACACGCAATAAAAAGGAGTAAGTTCAATGTTGAGCCTCAGGTTTTGTGTGTATAAGAGATTTCCCATTAACTGAGGCAGTTGTGCATACAGCTCCCCACAGACATTAACCTGAGCCACATTCATGTCCTTTTCCAAGATCTATCCTGGCCATTCCCAGCAGATCCTATGTCACCCTCACACAAACTACAGGGACCACTGACCACTTCCTACCCCTTGGTGATACTTTCCCTAAAGATTTCTGGGACCTGGTTTCAGAGCAAAAATGGACTTTCTCCACCATTTACCAACCTTTGAAGAAGGCATATGTTGCAATGGGAAAGAAAGGCAGCTGAAACACAAACTCGCAAAACAGGAAGGACTTAAACCACGCTGGAGGGTCTTGTATCAGCGGGTCTTTGAACTCCTTAGTATACCACTTGAACAGGCGTCTCAACTGGAACAAGATGAAGATCACGATGAGCACAGCCACCTACAGGAAGGGCTCAGCAGCTCCAACCCCTGGAAGTCTCATTACACAGCCCCTCGGCAGCGTACCGCCCACCAGCTGGCTTTGTGATGCCCAGATGGTCACTTAATAAAAACTCACTAGCTCTAACTCAAGTGTTACCTCCTCCAGGGGCTTTCCTCAGCAATTCCAGCCCCTCTGTGCCACCAGCATTTATTCCTGGCTCCATGATGACACCAGTCCAGGCATGCTACCCACTGCCAAGAGCAACAATGTCTGTCACTTAGCTGGCTCTGTTTGCTGAATGAACACACAAATGTGACATACCTGCTGATGGTACCCTTCTTTATACAGAAATGAGATGTGAAAAGCATGCTAATTTGTCCTTTCACAATAACAAATGCACATCAAGCTCTGAGGCTAGATTTCCTTGTTTTTTTGCGGGTAGGGGTGGAAGGGAGTTATATCTAACCTCTGTGAAGGTGCAATTTTAGACAATTTAAATAATCCCCAAATCTCAAGTTCCTCATTATTACCTCCCCTTAAGTTTTTCTTTTAGGAGACCAGCAGGGTATTTGTGGAAGAAACTTCCCAAACCACAAACCATATAGCTTCTAGGCTATGCCAAGTCTTGAGTGTTTAGCAGTTTCACCCTCCTAATTGGGATGCGGATCCGTGTAATTATACTGTCAGATCACAAGATGCAGATCCATGTTGACATGGCTATATGCAGAGGCAGGACGCAGGAGTGTTTGGTGTCCATTTTGTGCTTGTTAAGAGCCCAAAGCCAGTGGCTCTCCACACAACATGACTGCAGAAGGCCGGTCACATTTTACCTCCTGGAGATGGTGTCGTCTTGACACACCTGCCTTCAAAGCCAAATATATGTCTTGATCTTACAAGGCAAATCCTAGATAAGAATTTAGCTTAATGGAAAACCCAAAGATATTTTTCCTGTTAATTTTTAATCAAAAGATGAAGGCCCGCTATTGTGAAACAGAGGCCTCCCTGCTGTGAGTAAGGTTTAAGCAAATAGCCAGAAACAAACATTGTGTTAGCATAATGTTAACTTCGGAAAGACTCTGGCTAGATAACCAATTTATTGACCAAATGATCTCTAATCTGTACTTGACTTGAAATTTAAATTCATGGCAATACCCTTAGCTTTCTTTTAAGCACTTCTCCGGGTAGGATGGTAATGTGGCAGAATATCATCATAAAGGTTAAGTCACTATACCTCTCCTGGGCTCTATTTCCTTGTCTGTAAAACAGACAACTTGGACTAAATGTTCAAGATCCTTTTTTGTTCTCTAGTTTACTTTAAAAAAAAATGCTGGAGGGAATGACCTGCTTTAAAAGATTTAGCTCAGAATTTAAAAGATTCTGGTTATTTGAACTTCATTTTCTATTCAATTTGTGTACAATCTCTCAGATCTACCAATTTCATAAATCCAGGCAGATTTGTAATACTAAGGGCTGCAAAATTAGATTTGCAAAGTTTAAAGTGACTCACCTTACAATTGTTAGCCATTAAAATATTCACCTGATCTACACTCAAGGATTTCTAAGCCAGGAGCTGCTCCGGCACAATCTTGCATTTCTCTAACTTAGAATGAGAGCACAGACTGGTTTCAGACCCAGAGGCTCACTTATTTTTCCTTCTTTTAACAGAAGCAATGTTACCCAGCTGCAAAGGATACTACAGAATGCTGCAGACCCTCTCCATATTCTATTTCAAACTTTTACTGTTTCATAGTAAAAGTTTTTCCAAGTGTTGTTCTGGTTCAAACCAAGAAATATACTTAATTTGCAAATTTTAGCCCAACCATTATGTGATCACCACAAGTTTTTTAGTTCTAGGGGAAAATTCCTTCTTTTTAGGCAGGAAAAACAACAGATTTTAAATTTTGGCATTTTTTTTTCAAAGAATCTGAGAATAACTCAAGGCTTTTATCATTACTTTTCCCCATGGAGAAGCAACAAAACCATCATTCCCCACCCCAAAACAACAGTGACTAGAAACACAGACCTTCCTGGTGTTGCTAATGCATTCAAATAGCACCTAACAAACACGCATGCACACACGGGCATGCGTTTCTGGCCAGATCCTGCCTGCGTTGTCTCTTGACCTTTTATAAGTCATAATTAAAAACACAAAGCTGAGAAAACCTTTACCAAATCAATATCTAAGTTTACGTGGGGTCTTTACGATGCTGGACATATTTAATTGTATTTTGTGACTGGTGAGCAAGGACTTGTGGGAATTGCACATCCAGAAAGTATCAAGAAACCAATAGCTGGTAAGTCTGGGAAGGCTACCTGGTGTAACATAATTTGCCCAGATTTAACGGGATTCATAACATTAGAGACTGTAAACAGGTGGCCTGCTTGAGTTTTGTTGGCCACACAGCCTTGGAAAATCAGACGTGGCTCTTCTTTCTTCAAGGCAACTAAGAGCTGGTGCAGAGCTGTGATGACCTATTCAGAAAGCATCTACCACCTGGGCCTCTGTGGGAGGCCGAGCAACGCCCCTGAAGATACCCATGTCCTAATCCTGGGACCTGTGAACTGAATCTTATTTGGCAAAAGAGACTTTGCAGATGTGGTAAAGTTAAGGATCTTGAAATTTGGGATGATCCAGGCTGTCTTGTGGGCCCTAAAAGTAATCACAAGCGTCCTTATAAAAGTGGTGCACAGGGAGCCTGGACTGTAGAAGAAAAGGTGGCAGTGGTGACAGAAGCCAAGATTGAAGTGATGTGGCTGCCAGCAAAGGAACACCCGCAGCCACCAGAAACTGGAAGAGGCAAGGAACGGATTCTCCCTGAGGCCCTTCAGAAGGAACCAGACCTGCAAGTTTCATTTAGACCTTCTGACCTCCAGAGCTGTAAGAGAATAAACATGTTGTTTTAAGCCACTATGATTTTGATAATTTGTTACCGCAGCAATAAGATATAAATACACCATTTATGTCTGAACCTGTAATTTAACCCAACTCTCTCTGACTTGACAGTTGAGACTAGAGTCCTGACTTGCCCCAAACACTCAAGCCGTTCTCTGCATGAACCAAAGCAGCCGACTGCTCCAATGCTCTTGTCATACCACCTACGCTTTTCCCAAGAAGACGTATGTCAGAGGTCTTCCCAGTTATGACTGGATCTAGAAGCAAACAAAAAGACTCTGGAGTGGGAGTACATGGTTGAGCAGAGGTTCTTACACCTTTTGGGGAGGGTTAGACCCTTGGAAAAGTTTGCCAACGCTATGTACTCTCCTAGAAAACACAAGGCGCCCACAATTTTGCATACACCACCAGGGATTCACAGACCTCAGGTTAAGAACCCCTGCTCGGCATAGAGAAAACACTTTAGGAGAAACAGAGGCAAAATCAAATCTTTAGTAAGACAAGTCAGTCTTGCCCACAGCTCTACTGAGAAATTGGAGAAGCACAGGACTGGGGGCAGGAATTCCATGGAAGAAAGGATTACAGGGTCCAGACATGAAAAGACTGGGAAAATAAAGCTGGAGCTCCGAAAAAATAAGCATTTAAAGCAAAATTTGAAATAAAGAATGCTCTCCAATAATCAGGAAATGGGACTTTTCACTTCTGTTTCTACTCAGGTGATCATTCTTACTCGAACGCAATTGAAAGGGCCGATTTTAAAATGTGTCATTTACTTCCGAGTTTCTGAAGGTGCTGGACGCTGATCTTGAAGTAACGACAACCTGTGAATGCCCTGTAAACGGGTCTACTTGGATTATTTCTGTGGGAGGAGACGGCATTTTAAAGGTCTTCCAGGAAACACAACTTTAAAATAAATGCAACACGTGATTTAGACACTGGTTTATCCAGGCTACTTCCTTCAAATACTGACAACTGCCCCTGGGTGGGGTGTGGGAGCCTTAAACATACTGTCAAGCAAAAACTGTCTTTAAAAGGAACAAAGTGTTTTTCCTCAGCAGTTTGGGGAAAGGGTCTGGGACAAAGAAAACCCCGAGGAAGACGCAGACTTAAAGGGTCGGGAAGGGCAGGAGCCCGGGCAGGACCTAAGGGAGGAGAGAGGGAAAGGGGGGGTAGAACTGGAGCCCTGGGCGGGCGAGAGGAGAGGGAGGCAATGGAGGCGCCAGGGCACGACCAAGGCGCGCGGAGGGGCCCCGAACTCGGCGACCAGCGGCCAGGGGCGACCGTCGTCCTCACCTCGACTGGGTAGAGTTCGCGAGGCAGCACCACCTGCAGGTCCATGAGCAGGGTGATGGAGATGTGCAAGAGGAAGTAGAGGCCCAGCAGCCACTCCAGGCCGCGCCGGGCGCCCGGAGCTCCCATCTTCCGCCGGTTCAGCCGAGCAGGAGCGGAGGCTGTGCTTGCTGGGACAGCAGACGTGGGAAGACAGCCTGAGCCCAGGCGCTGTCCCGGAACCCCGCCCCCGCTACCCTGGGCGCGAAGGGGGGCGGGGCTCACCTCCCGGCGCGTCCATTGGCTCGTCTGAGTTTAGCGTGTCGAGAAGGCGGCAGGCAGAGCGTTTCCATTGGCCGCTGCGAGCATCGCGCGGAGCAGGGGCGGGGCTCCTAGCCCGCGGGGCCGGTCCGCGGCGTGCAGACAGAGCAGGCAAACCTGGGTGCGGGCCGGAACTCCTGCCGCTGACCGCGTGGCGGCTGGAGCGGCGGCTGCTGCTGACCGTGGTCCCCCTCGCTCACTACTCCATTCACTCCATCCTTTTAGTGCTTGCTGAGCGCCTCCTGTGTGCCGGGCTGTGGGCGCTTTCGGTGATGGGGCTCTCAATGCACCGGCGATGTCACAGATCGGGGCCGGCCGCGCAGTGCGTTGTGATCCACGCAGTGGTGCGGCAGTCATGGGCCTTGGGAAAACTGGGCAAGATCCCTGTCCCGCTGGAGTTGAGAGGTCACGGAAGCCTTCTGAAAAATGTGACGTAGGAGACAGTCAGCCTTAATTAAGAACGAAGCTAAGGGATATGATAGGAGGTAAAACTGACAGGTCTTGGTGATTGGCTATGGAGAATGAGGGCGGATCAAGGATTCACATACTCGTTTTGCATATATTGATCTTCATGTGCTGGGCCCAGGTCCGCCCTGGAACAGGATGGATGGGGCTGCCATTCGCTGAGAAGAGGGACATACAGAAGTGAATTGAAGGGCAGGTATTTGGTTCTGGCCATGTTGACACTGAGCAGTTTCTGCAGCATCTGATGGAGAAGTCTAGTAGGAATTGGAATGACCGTCTAGCTATGTAGGTTTGTGAGGCGTTTGATGGCGTTGAAGTTTTGGAAGCCGAGGAGGGCCGGTAAGAGATCTTGGAGGATCTCCAACCTCAGAGCTTGTGGGAGGAGGGGGCTGAGATACAGGTGGACAACAGGAGTGTGGTGTCACAGAAACATGGGGATGGAGGAAGGGTCATCTGTGTCAGAGCAACGCTGAATGTGCCCATTGGTGGCCCTGAAGAGCAGCTGTGGCATGGTGGAGGCAGGAGCCAGGTAACAGCAGGGTAGTGGGTAAGGAAGTGGGGAAATGGAGGCATGGAGTGTAGATACCTGGTTAGGAAGGGAAGGAGATTGATGGGGCAGTGGCTCCAGGGAGATGTGCTCAAGAAAGGGCTCATTTAATTTTTAGATGAGAAAGCCTAGAGCACTTTCATTTGTTTAGATGCTGCTGGGACTGAGGAGAGGTTGTCCATATAGGAGGAAGAGAGCAAGAAATACGGCTTGAGGGTCCTGAGAAGCTGGAGAGAATGTAAGGATTAGGGTTAGGCCAGAGGAGCTCTGTGCTCCCCTGCCTGAGCCCGCTGGGGCTAGGGCAGAGAAATTGTTGGCAGTGTAGAAGGCCCAGCTGGGATGGGTGGCCGATGATCTGGAGGCCCCAACCTACTGGGCTGTGTGCTTTTCTCCAGTGTGTGCTGTCTGCTCAGAAAAAGGCTGTTGGACTCCAGTACTGAGATTCAGAAAGACAAAGGTGATTTTGAGGAGTTGAGCAGAATGATTGAAGAGGTGGAGTATACAATTCAAACTGGATAGGAAGTGAGCAATATGAGGCCAAAGGGGCTGGTAGGCTTGGGGAAGGTGGAGAAGTGACTGGGTTTGAGGGTGAGAAAGAAGTGCTGGTGTGATAGGCCAGGTGTCAGAAGAGGTCTGCCCATGGATGGTGTGGCTGAAATGGAGAAGAGGAGAACGTCTTTGCATATGAGAGTCCAAGGTTTGGGATGGATCCACTGCAAAGGCCGCCTAGGATGGTGGTGCCAGTTGGGTGGAGAGAAGCCTGTGAGCCCACCGCCAGAGTTGATGTAAGGAGGTAACTAGGAGGAAGGTGGATATGGGCTGAGGTACAGCTTAAACCTCAGAGTGGAGGTGAAACAATGTGGATGTGGGCTTCGGGAGCAGGGAGGCTGGGGACCCCACCTCCTGACTCTGAGGTTGTGGAGCGTGAGAAAATGAGCAGCCTGCTCTGGAGAGGGCTGTGGGGAAGGAGCCAGGTGTGGGTTACCGCAGAAGGTGAAGGCTCATGGTGTGGAAGGGCTCTGGCTCTGGAGAGGAGGAGTGTGTTATTAAGGAGGACAATCAGCAGGGTGGAAGCAGCAGCAGGGTGGAAGCAGCAGCAGGAGAGGGTAGGTGGAGGTTCCTTCTGGGGTGGTGGGCAAAGGGTGACTGGCCTTGGTAGGGGATCATTGTCAGAACACACAGTTTGGGCATCCCTCAGGTCTCTTGGGGCAGGCTGGAGCCCTCGTCACAGCGGGACTCAGGAAGCGGCCTGGCAGTGGTATGCTCCCCGTCCCCCAAGAATGGCTTTCAGGAGTGTGGCACCTTTTAAACTGTACTCCAAGCTGATAGCTGCTTGCTGGGCACAGTGGGTGTGGGGCCTCTAAACTGTGATTTGCTTGCAGACAGGGGAATGTGGTGTGTACAGCTGTTAATGTAACTGTTCCTCAAAAAACCTCTCACTCAGCCAAGTTTGTTATCTGTAGATAAAGACTTTCAAGGGTGAACTTTCACTGGAAGGCCACTCCATCCAAAAAGATTTCTGTGCAGCTGCTGTCTTATGTTTGAAATTCCTTTAGTGGGAACTGCAGCTCTTAGTTCAATGAGGTCAGATAAGTGGTAGAAGGCAAATGGCTCTGGGGACGAGGACATAGTTAATCAGCAGACTGCCTCACCCAAAGCCGTATTGGGTGAAAGAATGACTTAAAAACAGGCCCTGAGTGGCTTTCCTGTCCTGAGTTGAAGTGATGATAAGCACCTTTCGAAAATTATTCGTCTTGTGATGAGACAAACACCATCAACCCAGCAGGGTAGGTGGAAAGGGCATTCTAGCCTTGGAGCCTCAGCCACACCGTGCTCGGAGAAGGCTGCGCTGGACCCACCACTTTCCTCCTCGGCTGCAACTGTGTAAAGCTTTCTTCTCTGCTTTTGTTTCACTTTCTCTCTCCTTAAAATGCACCCACCCTTCTCACCCCACCCCTGTCCTTATGTATTTTAAGGCCCAAAGGATCGCCTCTATTTGGTGGCATTACGGACCTCTCTGAACACCTGTGGCAGTCTCTGATGTGTTTATTCCTTTCACAATGAGCAATGCTGATCTGAGTATGTGTCTCTGCACACCTTTCCTGCTAGGCTGTAGGGTCCTTGACAACAAAGACTGTGCCTTCTCCATCTTTATTTTATGAACACAAAGCTGGGGTCATTGAGGAACTAAACGTGAAATTGAAACTCCTCTGCCACACAGACACTGTCACTTAGTGTAATTGCAACGGGAACACGGTGTAATAACAGTCAACCAATGGCAAGATGTAGGTATATCAAATTTCAAGAGCTTTTGCCGCTAATGAAAAATGATAAGACTTAGTTGCTGTGGCTCCAGAATCAGCAGATGGCTTCACCGCAAAAGCTAAAACATATATTAACAAAAGCTGAGATTCTCTCAGTGCTGGAGGCATAGCAAGGGGGCTGTATGGGGAAGATTCAGAATCAGCTCTTGAGATCTGGCCAGCTAGCTGTCTTGAGTGATTAGCTCCCTCCTTTTCATGTCAAAGAACCTGTGAACTTGGGTAGAAGGGCAGAGCAGGTGGGGGGTAATTCTGAAAGACTTTGTTTAAAATTTGGGTATCTTGTTGTTTTTTGTCCTCTTGCATAATTCTTTAAAATATTGCATTGAAATGTTATTTATCCTGGTTACTGAGTTTTTTGGTGCCCACCTAAGTTATGTGCCTGTGGTGTCTTACTCTCACCCCAGCACCTTACAGCTCTGGCTGTGAGGTGGGAGTAGGGTTAAGTTTAATTTGGGGAAGCGTCAGGTTACTGCTGGGTCTGGAGAGCTAAGAGCCAGTAGATGTGGTATCAGGGTAATAGAGAGGCGGTGGGGAATCGTGAGCAAGGCCGTCTGGGATTACAGTAGTGCTTCAGAAAGATTCATCTGGTCCCAGTGTGCAAGGTGGCCTGGTTGTAGGAGGAAAGTACGATGTTGTAACTTATATGCTACATCATGTGTTTCCAGAAGTTTGGAAGTTAAAAAAAGAAAGAGCTGGAAGTACTAGGATCGGGCATTTTTCAAGGTAGATGTGTCTCAAATACACTTGGTAGTAGAAGTAAAGTGGCCCATTTAACAGAATATTAATATTTCTCACTTACGGAGTACCTACTATATACTAGAGTGGGGTTGGCAAACTTTTGCTGTAAATGGCCAGACAACAAATACTTTAAGCCCTGTGGGCCAATCTCTGTCCCAGCCACTTAACTTTGCCATTTGTTGTGTGAAAGCAACTATAGACAATATGTCTGTCCAGAAGAGAATATGGCAGTGTTCCAATACAATTTTACTTATAAAATCAAGCTTGATTTGAGCTGTGGCATTTGTAGTTTACGTACTTCTGCTCTAAGGCATTGTTATCTTCATGGTCAAGGCCAAGGGACCATAGGTTCTAGTAGGTGGAAAAAAGCATGGAGTGTATCCATCATCCTAAGGCCTAGGCCTGGAAGTGGCACACCTCCTTTCCAGCCACATTTCATTGGAGAAAATACAGACATGTGCCCACATTTTATTACCAGGAGGGCCAGGAATGTCATCCAGGCTTATGCTAGGGAAGAAAGAGAGATTTCAGTGTTTCATGACCACTCTTTGCCATAGGCAGTTTCAGAAACCTCATGGAAAGTGCAAACATACTCAGAAATTTTGATGAATCACTATATGGCTGAATTTATCTGAGGTCTAAAAAAGCCAAGTGTAGAAGGAATGACAGAATGAGGAAATCACTATTTCTAACCACAAATGCAATAAGTAACTGGTGCAAAGATTATCAATACATGGCACTGGATGAAAAAAATCTCTCTCCTTAGATTGCTTATTAATTATAAAGGGAAAAGGTATTTTTACAATGGGG